ACGATAGGATTTTATATAAAATCTCTTCTTCTGTTGGAATTTCTTTATTCCTCCAGTTTTGTGCATACGCCAATCTAGCAGCCGTGAGAATATGTAGCATCAAGTAAAGTATGCCTTTGTCGTATTTCTGCGTAGTTACGCCTAGTAGGAAGAGTTCTGGTTTTGGCTCTATCTCTATCATTAGTATTTCTTCCAGCCGGTTTTTAACCTTGTTCCAAAAGTCACGGGCTTTTGAGCACTCCCACCACATGTGGTAATATGTCCCTCTTGCCAATTTGCATTTCCAGCACGTGGAAGAAATATTTGGACCCGTTTTAGCTAATCTTGTGGGTGGGAGATGCCATCTGTAGAACATTTTGTAGAGGTTTTCTTTGTAGGAGGTGGCCAAAGTAACCAGAGCTTTTTTGAAGAGGGCAGGAAAGTATCAGCCTAGCAAGATAGTCCTGACAGGAAGCATGGCCTGATGGACTAATTCTATTTTATTGTAAGGAATCTTGCAGATCTGAAAATACATTTCTCTCCCACCACTTTTACAGGCCAAGAAACTAGGGAGGGACCCTTCTGAGATGTTTGTCACACCAACATTCCTTGTGTGGGATCAGCTCTTACCTTGCCATTCCCTGTCTTTGGATTCTGCCCCTGTCTTCCAAGGTCATTCCCACAGGGCAATAGGATGATTGCCCTGGATCCCTTCCAGAATATAATTTAGTATTTGAAATGATCAAATGGATCAATACTGTTCAATCAAAGCACCAAATTGTTTTAGTTTTCCCACCCTCTTTCTCAATAGACTATTAATTTTAGTACATAAAACAGAGAAGGAAATATATTGATCCCGAATGCAGCAGGAAAGAAGGATTCAGTATACAGAGGGAATATTCAATGACCAGTTTGCCTCCAGGGCTTCTAGCTTCTTGAAAAGGCTCTGTTCATACCCTAATGGAGATTATCTGCACTCCCTTTTATAACTCTGCAACGGTCAATCCACAGTTTTGGTTTTTTTGGGAAAACAGGAATGGGAGAGCTTTCACCAATAGAATAAATACTGGTATGTGTTCGTACATGCATCCGTGTAGCAACTCAAACAGCAGCCTGGTAATGAGAGTAGTTGTGCCATGATATCTTGAAATGAGAAGAGACACAGTCCTCTGGTTTGCTTTGCAAAAAGCTGGCAGAGAACTCCCGCCAGCTGGTTTACTTGGACATGGCTTGTACAGGACTCTGAACCCAGGCAATTTGGGGGGGGGGGTAGCTGTTCAAGTCAACAAAGAAAGAAAGAAAGAAGTCAGAAGTCCAAAGAGAAAAAGTAATTGCTGGTAAACAGGAGATGTGATGCCTCCAGCAGTCTTAGGGTACATATCAGTTTAATCCCCTGCCACAAATTTCTCCTAACAAGTGCTTATTAGAAACACTGAATTTGTAACTCCCATTAATCTAACCCAGGAATGATCATGTTGATGAGAGTTGGGCGGGGACCCAGTTCAAGTCTCCACTTAATGAGCTCATGGGGTCCCTTTTTGGCCAACTTTTCTTGCTCAGTCCAGTTTCCCACACAAAACTGATGTGAGAATAAAACGAGAGGAAACACATGCATATGTCCTAACTCAAGTTAGGAAAGATGAGGAGGTAAATAGAGTTGTAAATTAAAAGAAATAACTGGGATAATGAAAGCTTCTCTGTACCTTAACCTAATGATGGTTCTCAAGAAAATAATTTGGGAGTTTTATTGATGCAGAAAATTGGGTCCTAGTGATAGTCAGACCCTACATTGTAATTTTACCACTGATTTTTTTTTAATGAGCCATATAAAAAGCTAGCTGGACATGGATGATAGGGCAAATACAGCTAATAAAGTAAAAAACAACAACACAATTACAAACTCTTTGCGGTAATTCCAGGAAGACAAAATGGGGATGGTCTAACTGTAGGACAGGGGTCTTCAAACTTGGCAACTTTAAGACTTGTGGACTTCAACTCCCAGAATTCCTCAGTCAGCCGTAGCTGGCTGAGGAATTCTGGGAGTTGAGGTCCACAAGTCTTAAAGTTGCCAAGTTTGAAGACCACTGCTGTAGGAGGAGACTTAAGTCTGATAGCTTCTGAACTCATTTTTGAATGTCTCAAAATAAACAAATATTTTAATGGAAGAGTCATAATTAGCAGGTGAGCCCAGTGTTGGACTGAGTCCCTTCTCAGCTGCATGTTTCTTTCATATAAAGGACAAGTTTTAGGGCTCTGTCGATTTCTGTCTTTAAAAATGACACATGGTGCCAAAAAAGATGAACCAAGGATTGATGACTCCAGCCCAGTATGGAATCAAGAGCCATTTTACTCTTATTTGTACAGAAAAAAGGACACGCCAAGGTGTGAGTAGAACAATCTTCCCAGAGGCAACTAAAAAGTCACTTAAAATTTATATTTCCTAACAAAATGTCCTAAGTTGATCCCACCCTTTTGTGGGATCAACAAAAACAAATGAATGTTTTTCAAACAAGCTGGCAACTTTGAGATGTGTGAGCTTCATGTCCACACATCTCAAAGTTGCTAAGATCAAGAAACATTAGTTTAAAAGAATATATCCTCATCCACAACAATAGCCACAAGTTCTATATGGAACATAGCAACTGTATTTTGTGATTATTTTAGACCATTATTCCCCCCCCAAAAGAGCAGAACTGTATAGAGGAAGATGAGCTTTGCACAATCTTAAAGATCAACAGAGTTCAATTGATGCAGAATTTGAATACTCAGATCAGCTTAGTCATTCACTTCTTACGGATAAATATATCAGTAGTGTCTAAGAAGGAATTACTACTTCCTGTTAGCACCTATTTTGCAGATAAATTATCCCGAGTAAGACCTGTTTCCTTATTAGGTGGATATTCAGTGTATTTGCACTAAAGTTACAGCATATTTATGGAGTAGCTTTGAGTATCACCTTGATTGATAACACCCCAAAGAAAGTCAGAACTGGCTTGCAACTGCTTGATCAAATTATATTGCTATTGTAGGCTTGCTATTGTATACTCTGTGGAAGTGGGGGATTGGGGAAGGAAAATTGGTGCCTTTTCCTGACTCCTGGTTAACTGCAGTAGTTCATTGCATAATTTTTCTTAGAAAAAAAAAATTTCTATATGCTGACTACAAAATTCTTTCTCTGTTACGAAAGCTACTGTTATTGTCCTATCACATATGAGATGACTGGAAATAGTTGAGAGATTCCTTCAGACTTGCTTGAAACTTCCTTTTATAGTCTGAGCAGGTGTATCTCCTTTAGCAAGATGGATACACCTTTTCTTTCTTTACATTTTTACAATGAGCCGAGCAGTCATCCAGTAACATTACCAAAAGGGGTGGAGTCAAATTATTTCAAGAATAAACAATGGGTGCATTAAACCCATTGGAAGCTTAATATACTTAATACAAGGAATATTGACAGAAAATGTTTAGAAAGGTGTCCTGGTTGTGGGTTGATTTTCGCGCCAATGTCACCGGTATATTTTTAGGAAGTTGTAGGCTGGGCAGATTGGGCTTCAAGCAACTGAAAATTTGATTCCCCTTAAGCAAAGTCACCTGCAGATGTCTGATCTCATTTCCAAATGCTATTTGGATATAATCTACTCACAATTTATCTACTGATGGCTCGGTGGCAGAAGAAATGGATTTGTTTTGCACCTATCAGACCACCCAGTTTTCCAAAATGGATTGCTGTTCTCCTGAAAATCTTCCCTAGAACTATGCAGAAGGGAGTGTAACGGTTAGGGGAGAATAGCAAATCTAAGGTATCTCACCCCGCCTAGAAATAAACCCAATAAGGTCCCCTAAATGCAAGCGGTTCCATTATCTTCCTGAGGATGGAAGATACTGGACCAAAAGCAATTTGTTACCAAGTTGGATTTAAGATCTAAGAGGACCACTATAAAGAATCCTCTCTAGCTTTGAGCATTAACATCCCTTCCAGTAGGAGACCTCCATGTAAATTTCCCACCGTGACCCATCTTAACTTTGCAATGAAAGTATTATGGGAAGTGGACTGACAAGAGCTGCTACATATAGAGCAGTGATGGCGAACCTTTTAGAGACCGAGTGCCCAAATTGCAACCCAAAACCCACTTATGCATGGTTGGGTGCTGGGTGGGTGTGGCCCATTGGGTGGGTGTGGCCCATTGGGTGGGCGTGGCTGCGGTGGTAACGGCAGACTGGGTGGGACTAAAAAGTTCAATCAATCAATTCCAACTTTGTAAGATCTTTTTTTTTCTGTGAGAAGTTGAAATTGACTGATTGATTGAACCTTTTTTTTTTTTTTTTGCACATGGCAGTGGAGGCCTAAAGCGAAAAGGTTTTATAAAACCAGCTGAAGGCCTAGGACTGGGGCGACGGTGTGTGTGTGTGCCCACAAAGAGGGCTCTGAGTGCCGCCTCTGGCACCCGTGCCATAGGTTCGCCACCACTGATATAGAAGGCCCAGGGCAGATGCCAGTCACTTGGACTTCGGGGTGCCTGAAAAATGCTGGATGCTGATATCAAGCTTGATTTGTTGTTTGTGGGAACTTTACACCCAGATCAAGGTAGAAGATGGGATTGGTGTCAATTCTCCTATGGCCTCATTAGTGGCTCTGTTCTTCTGCCTTTCTTGAATGGAGCATCAGGCATCCATCTGCTGTAAGCTCTGTCTCTTGGCTGGTAGGGTTTCAGTCCGTCTTGGTTCTTGGTCCTTTCCCTCTCTTGGGGGAGGCAACATCCCCCTTCTTCTTCTTCAGCCCTACTCTCACTTTCCCACAGTGTGTATCTGTAACTTGGGTTTCTCATCTTGCAGAGAGGAAGTCAGATTCCTTTATTTCCCATGCCCTCCTTTCCTCCTCTTCCTTTTTTCCCCTCTTCCGTTTTTTCCTTTCCTTATTTTTTCCTGCATTATTCCCTCCCCCCCATCCCCACCCCCCCACCAGCCTGTGCGGTTGTTATCACTCACCGTGAACTAACACGCCCCCTGGTGTTTGCATGCAGTCATTGCATCCAGCAGATCCTGGAGGCTGTTCTCCACTGCCACCAAATGGGGGTCGTCCACAGAGACCTCAAGGTGAGTTTTCTTCCCCACTGCTCTGTCCGTCTGTCCGTCTTTGTATCTTTGCATGTTTTTTTTTCCTTCCGTTAAAAAAAAGAAGTTGGATCACTTCTGAATGGTTCAGACTAAATTCCCTGAAAAACTTGTTCCAGGGTCCTTAGATAATTGTGCAATTTGTTTCTTGATCTTGGATTTATTTAGGTCATCCCTCTGACAGACTAATCAGAAATCAGCTTAATGTAATGGCAGCTGTGTTGTACGTTCTGCTGTGATCTAGCCTGGCTTGGAGAAATAGGAGAGATCTACTGCCTGATGTACCTTATCATTCATCTATCATTCCAAGTAATGGGTTAAACCATAATTCGTTGAGTTCCCTCTAGAGGTGATCGGATCTGCTGGATCAGACCAAAAAATCTATCAAGCCCAATGTTGTATTCCTTTAGAGGTCATCTGGAAGTTCACAAGCAGGACCTCAGCACAACAGGATAGTAGACTTTGAAGAAGACCAGCTATGCTGACTTCATACCTCATGATAAGCTGGTTTGTTTTGCCTAGAGATGTGGAGCCTATGGTCTTCATGCCGCTCATGGCATCCTTATATCAAACTGCTGATTTGGGTTGCGTTGTTTTCTATCTCTTTAGCCTCTGAAAAGTTGCAGAATTGTTTGATTTAAAACCTGCCTTTTCCACTTCCCTCTCAGTGCATATATATGTGCAAACAGATATGCATCCACCCTCTTCCCCAGTGCTATCACCATCCCGTGCAACATGCATTCTGGAGCCCTAAGAATCCAGATTAAAAAAAAAAAGATTCCTAAACGCAGAATAACTCAGGAAACCACACAAAGTATGCTCCCACATTTGCGACAAGTTCCAGTAAATCAAGAACATGCCATGGTTTCAAATAATAATTTGTTACCTTGAGCAGAAGCAAGGCCAAAATAATCAAGATTCTAAAGAGACAATTGATTTCAGTCTTACTTTACCAAGCTGCAGAAGTATAAGTGGGAAGCCCAGTTCTCCTCAAAGGTTTGCAGAACTAAGAGGTAGTTAGTTCTCAGGAACATGGAAGAATTAGTGGCAACCATTTCCCTTCAGTGATCAAACAACAGACTGCATCTTTCATTGAAATTCAGTGGTCAAGTAGAGCATGCTTGAAGGAGGTTGTTTAGTAGAAATCATGGTAAAGTATCAGGAGTGCTGTATAGTTGTCCCAGGATGTCTAAATTCTGGACCTTGTGTGACTTCACACAACCAATGGGTTCTACAAGGGCAGTTTAGACCATTAGCAGATTTCTTTGGATCACTGGGGTAAATCCTGCAGTGTGAAAGATCTCAGAAGTTCTTGTTCATTTCCTATGTTTTTGACCATGTTGCAACAAAATTACTCTTTGCCATCACTGCCTTTTCCATGTTAGAACTTCAAAAGACAGTCCCTCATGAGTCCTGGACTGCAAGAAGTTTTCTTAATGGGAGAGGTCCCTCACTTTATGATCATCTCCTAATGCAGCGGAGTCCTTCCAGTTCCAACCAACCAACCAACCAACCAACCAACCAACCAACCAACCAACCAACCAACCATCCATCCATCCAACCATCCATCCATCCATCCATCCATCCATCCATCCATCCATCCACCCTATATACATTCTGCAATTATATATCTTCCCCTCCCAGCACTGCCAAAATGCTTTGGGCTCCGTGTAAGAAAACCTTTTTGTTCTTCCTTCCTTTTTGCATGCTTGCATGGTGTTTTTGGTCCCTTGCATCTTAATGCAGTTTGGTAGATCTGAGCTGATTTCTGGGTAGCTGTTGGAGGCCCAACCAGGGAATCCATAGGGTAGGACCTAGGAAAAGCCAAATCCCAATATTTTCAGTAAACTCGAACTTTCATTTGCCCCCCCCCCCCAACTTACTTACTCCTTGCCTTCTTCCGCTTTCCTTTAGCCGTTCATTTCCCCACCCTTTCCAACTTTTTTTCTTCCTGTGCTTCAGTGTCTGGGTCAAGACTTTAACTCAAACGGTGATGTTTGTAGACAGAGCAGCTGTAATCTCTCTTCTAGAAGTGTGCATGCCTTCTATGTCTGGTTTAAATGTGTGCAAATGATTTATTTCTGTGAGTTTCCCCTATTGGGTTTTTGGTTTTGATACACTCCCTGTCTGGCCTCTTTATAATTCTCCTTTGGGTTGAGATGTGACAGGGGTATTATAAAGAGATCATATTTGACAAGTTTAATGGGCAGTTAAAGTTCAGCAATGTCTGGGTGTGTTATTGTGGCAATAAAGGAGGGGTACCTTGACAAGACACACACACCCCTTTGTCTCTGTGTCCTGAGAATTTCTTTTTGAAAAGTTCTGTGTTTCTGTTGGTCTTTTATATATATGAAAAAAGATTTGGGCTACCCCTCTCATTCCACTTCTGTGGTTATTATTTCTTGTTAAGCTTTGGGACAGGAATTTGACCAGAACCTAAACTCTTTAAGATTAAAACAACAAAGAAACCAACAAAGAAACCTGGCAAAAATTGCTTAACAGCTTTAACTTTCTATTCAGCATCAGCAGGTCTCAATTGTTGGGGTGTCAAGCTAATTGGGCGGTTCACACATGCCTGAAAATTATTTGGTTTATTTAAACAGCTGCCTTGGCTTGCAGTGGAATTGCCTTCACAAATGCCTAATAAAGTTTGTGCATAAACCTACTTAAACTCTTAACAGGCAAAAATATCTCCAGAGCCTTGGACAATGTTACTTAAGCAAGAAAAAACCTTTCCTTTACATTCCATGGTTGAAAAGCTTTAGCTTCTGCCAAAGATTTGCCTCTGGTAACATGCTTTGGTATGGAAGAGTTTGTAGTCCTTCATAGTGGAGATTTTTCCTTTCTCTAGTTGCTAAAATAAATTGAAGAGAGATGAAATGTGATTTCACATGCATGGGATAATGTATGGGCCCTTCCCTTCCCTTTCTAAATGGAGTTGTGCAATTTTAAACCAGCTTCTATTATTCCACGGAAGGGGCTTTTGTGTGTGCAGTTTTGGGATAATACAGTGCCCGTGATAATGCACCTATGGTAAATCTGTGAGAGGGTACATGTAGTCCTCGCTTACCGACTGTCTTTGAGTGACTGTAGGAAGATAAGGATACTTGGAACGAAAATAGCTTTGCGACCAATGGTTGCATTTGCAAGTGTCACATTTCCCTCAGTCACGCCATCATCATTTGCAAATTTCACAACTGGCTTTCAACAGGCAGAATTAATGGAGAAAGCAGAAGTGAAGTCACAAGTCACATGATGTTTCGCTTAATGCCCATGGTGTTTCACTTAACAACGGAAGCAGAAGTGGCATTGTAAGGTCATTGTGCTCATGTGATGTTTTTATTTATTTTTTTGCTTAGTGACCATGGTGCTTAATGATGGAGTTGCCGGTCCTAATTGTGGTCAGTTAAGTGAGGACTAGCTGTAGTGACAAGAAAAGTTCCTGCATTAATAATTCACACTTGTGTACTCGTATTTCACAACAAAAGGATATCCATTTAGCACATCCATTAATACAGTATATGTTAATCTGATATTTGCGGCTAAACAAAGCCTTGTTATGCAAATCCAAGATAAAGTATAAATGAAAATATTCATGTGGCGTTACTTTTTGCAAATAGATGAGCCTAAATGGTTCAGTTCTAAATTTAGTATTTCCAGAGGGCCAACTGAAATTAAGGAGGCTAAATTTAGTCACGATTTTTTTCATTTCCTTCAGTTTGTTCTAAGGATAACTCAGTCTGGAAGCAACCCATTATCTCGTGTTCATAATAGCTGGTGTGCTTTGAAAAATTAGTTGAGGCAGAGTTTCTCTGCTATTTTTTTGGAAAATAACTCCATTTTTAAAAGGGATTAAAAAAAACAATTTTTAAGCTCAGAGTTAAAATATAAAACCCTTTGCTCTCATGATCATGTGAAGTGTTAATACCACTTTACAATGCCTTGGTAAGGCCACACTTGGAATACTGCATCCAGTTTTGGTCACTACGATGTAAAAAGATGTTGAGACTCTAGAAAGAGTACAGAGAAGAGTAACCAAGAGGATCAGGGGACTGGAGGCTAAAGCATATAAAGAACGGTTGCTGGAACTGGGTATGTCTAGTCTAATGAAGAGAAGAACAAGGGGGGACATGATAGCAGTGTTCCAATATCTCAGGGGCTGCCCCATAGAAGAGGGAATGAAGCTATTCTCCAAAACTCCTGAAGGCAGGACAAGAAGCAATGGATGGAAACTAGTGAAGAAGAGAAGCAACCTAGAAATAGACAGAACAATTAATCAGTGGAATGACTTGTTTGCAGAAGTTTTGGGCTCTCCATCACTGGAGATTTTTAAGAAGAGACCCGAAAGCCACTTGTCTGAAGTGGTATAAGTTTTCCTGCGTGAGCAGGGGGTTGGACTTAAGACCTCCAAGGTCCCTTCCAACTCTGTGGTGAGATGGGTGGTAAACAAAATTTAAAAATAAAATTAGACAGGTTTTTGAGTTCATTGAAGAGGAGTAGCAAATGTGGTGAATATCATGGAGGATCTCAGCCTATTCATTAAAGCGTTTATCCACCATGATTCTATATATATGTTTACACAAAGGGGTAACTAAACTGAATGAGCTTATACACTGTCAGAGTCATTAACGCAGTAGTCTTAAATGGATAATATATTCTACAGATTTAATTAGCTTAACTATATTGTGCTAAAAAAGATTTTTGGTTACAGTGAGGTTTAATGCCTTGAACAACAGATGCTCTCCTTTCAGAAATAATATTGGTGTGGTTAGCAAAAAAAAAAAAGAGTTCAGATAATATCATCCTCAACATAAGGATTGGGACTTTGATCTAAAACATGATTAGATGGTCCCAAAGATATGTGATTCTTCTCTTCTTCAAAGAAGGATGGAATGGCAATGGAGCTGTTATTTTCTTCTGATGCTTTTCGGTGACATTAGAAAAAAAAAACTGGAATGGGACAGCTCTCTACGGCCAATTCACTGTGGGACAACTTGCTGCAGATAACTTATCAATTCAATTTAATTATTTAAAATAAATAAAAAATTGTTTTAATTTTTGTCATTCAGATTTCATCCTGTCCCTCCTTTAGCATCCTTTCTTTAATTATTCTGTTCCACCATTTCTTCGATATCGGTGTAAATCTTGTCCTGCAGTGAGTTGTCCCCCCAGCGAGTTGACCATGGCAAGTTGTCCCATGGCATGTTAGCCACGGCTAGTTGACCGTAGTGAGTTGGCCATGGCGAATTGTCATAGACCCTTAGAAAACACATAATTCAAATTATAAGCAATTTTATTTTGCACATTTGTCCTCCTTGATTATAATAGAATGCACTGCCAAGTTATTCATAAGTGTATGCTTATGAATGCAATCTCTTTCATTTTTGCTAGCTAAATTTATCCATTCGTTTTCTAGCCATTTGCAGAAAAGTGGAATCAGAATGAAATCAGTAAATGAAGATTAAGTATAATTGTGCATTCTCACTGGGCTGTGAAAGTTAGTGTAGACTTTGGTCATATTGTTTTATATAATAACTAAGTTTCACTTTAGTTATAACCTGGTTGCTAACCACAATAGAATTATTATTGTTTATTTAAGCTTTTTAGACAAAAGTTCAGTGGACATAATTTCCTAATGGTTGTTGACCTTCACTCAAGAACAAGTTAGTAACTGTATACAGTAGATATTTGCATTAAATTAATAAAGGGCAATAGTTATCTTGACTTATAACAGTGACCATAAAGTAGAATCAAAGGAACTCTCAAGTAGACTTCGAAGTCTACCAGGAAAGGGTGTGATCAATCAGCTACATTGGTCTCAGACTATTTTATGATTTGTAGCTAATTCAAAGACAACCAGTAGCATCATATATCATATTAAGACGTAATGTGGCTTGCTTGGTTTTAGTTGATGTTGTAGTTTGAACCCAGTCGTAGTTAAGACGTTTGGTTCCCAACTGAGTATGAGGTATAAATCCAGCCACTTAGGGTTTATTTAACAAAGCATGGTTAGTGCAATGTGTGAATCAGACCTGAGTTGCTTAGCTGTTACACATAGAAATATTTGGTACAGTAACTTTGCTAGATGTTGGCTTCTGTTCTGAAAGGTCTTGTTGGTATTGTACATAAATAATCAAATATTTTGTTACAATTGTTATTCCCTCCACATTTAGTGGAGCTTCTAAGATGTGTCTGCCAATGACTGTCAGGTGGAAGTGCTTCCTTGCATAGTTTTTCTATCTTAATTTGATGTTGCATATTGGAAAAAAAAAAAAGGAAGGCCAGGAAATAGGTCATTGGGAAACACTATGGTCTGAGTTTATAATGCTAGTTCCAAGATTCAGTATTCTTTAAGCTGTCTTTAAACCAATTGGATGAGACAACTGATTTAATTCCCATTCATTCTAAGGGGACCGCTCAAAGGATACCTACATCTGGAACCAAAATACAAATGGATTTTAACAGATGTTGCAGCTTGTTTTGGAGTTTCCTAGCTGGGAATTATAGTTTAATGAAGCACTCTAGCTTGAAAGTGTTCAACTGAAGCCTAAGATAGTTGTGAAATCCTAGCGGGTAGTGACGTTCATTGATTGCAGTGGGACTGCAATGGAGACTTTATCCTTTTGCTGGGAATTTGTTTCCGTTCCTTAACAATCATGCCACAGAAATTAAGAAGCTGTAGTTAGGCCTTTCAAGACAGAAAAGAAAAGCACGAAGAACCGAGAGCTAGACATTTTCAACATTGGCTCTGGGTGAGGGTGGCATTTTTCTACAAAGGCACACCAAATCCATTCCCTCATGGATTTTCCATTGCTCATCTACCTGTAGATTCCTGTTCTGCAATGGATTATATTTGGGATTGGACTGTGTCAGAATAGATGGAAAAGGCCCACGGGCCCTTGTCTATGGAGATGCTGAGTCATCCAGGTCATGATTGTCCCAAAAATGCTTTTTTCAAGAGGCAACTGGATTTCCCTTGTTTTTCCTTGAAGATGTTTCTCTTCTTATCCAAGAAGCTTCTTCAGTTCTGACTAAATGGTGGGGGATGGAAGGATTTGCAACACAGCCCTTTCAGCAGTTCCAGAAAGGTTCCACACCCATTTACACTATTCAAGTGACCCTGAGGGCACAGGTAAACCTCCAAGTGACCTCAACGATTCTCAGAAAGAGTGTCAACGACCAGATGACTGCAAGGAATATAAATCCTTCCATTTTCCACCATTCAGTCAGAACTGAAGAAGCTTCTTGGATGAGAAGTGAAATGTCTTCAAAGAAAAGCAAAGAAAGCTCTTGAAAAAAGCACCTTTGGGGCCCATAGGCCCTTCCAAATTCTTTGGGGTCCATAGGCCCTTCCAAATTCTTCCTTATCCCAAAAAAATTGTAACCGTGTGTATGAATTGATGGCTAGTTAGAAGGATCTTGAGCATATCAAGCCCTACTTTCTTCAGTGGGATATATCTCTTATCAATAATTATTGGACCCCCCTATTAGTACAGTCTATAGCATTTAAGTTCTTTTGTTTTTAAGGTGTCCTTCCTAAACCTCCAAAGAAGAAAGCTGCATGGTGCATAGATTCAGCAGTGCATGTTCGCATACTGGCAGCCAGTTGGCTCCTAACCTTTTACCAGAGCTTGCATACATTCTTTTTCTCTATAATTTGTAACATTGCCGAAGTTTTCTAAGGAATGCATTCAAGAGGGATACTTCAGTGTCTCCTAACTTTTGAGCAGAATAGTCTCTGGATTGCCTATTTGAACCCTGGCCATAATGGGATGCAAACCGGATCTTATTAATCCATATTTGTTAGAACAAAAAAGAAAAAGAAAAGAAAAGAAATTCAAACAAAGGATGGAATGGAGGGGAGCCCTTGTGCATGTTTGGTGGGTCGAATATTGTCTGTTGTGTTGTCCTCAGTTTACCAACTGAAAACCAGAGCTCCACCATTATGTGCTTTTTCTCTTTGATGTTGCAGCCAGGGCTCTTCTTTCTTAGCTTCATTATGGTAAAAATAATGATTTAAGTTTTATGTATACATTCATCCCATTCTGCTATAGTTTTGACATGACCAGAGAGAACTGGAAGAATGAATCTAACCTTATCTAACCTGTCACCATCCAGTCCGCCCCAATCTGATACTAGTCCTGCACCCTACTACGCTGTTCTTGTTTAAAGAAGATCTGATCCAACCCCCTTCAGAAAGAGGGAGGAGGCCAGAATTCTGAGTCCCCAAAACCAAATGCAACCAAAGCCTCAAGAAGCATCCTCAAGATGTTCTCTTAGGAAACTCTTTAATAATTCTAGGACCGCAAATAATACCCCAAGCAGGAGTGAAATCTAATCTCCCAAATCTTCCCAAGAGATTAGTTTTTCCATTGGAATGCTAATTTGTAAACACAAAACCTTACATCATGGCTACTTTGGGTCTTTAGTATCACAGCTTGAGGTAGGTCTGACAGTTAAGAGGATTGTAGGGAGGGCCCTATATATCATGAGCCAGGCTTGGATCAAGAGGATGAAAGTTACATCTATAAAGTGAAGAAAAAAAAAACATGGGCTAGGAAATGCAAGTCAAGCTAGGTGGTTATTTATGTTCCTTGCACTTTTTGTGTGCACCCCCTCCCAATATAGACCCATAGTAGAAGTGCATTTCAAATAAATTACGGCTCTGTTTTCCCAATTTAAACTGATTTTAAAAGCAGCTTTCTTGGAACTGTAGAAAGCTTGTGCTCCTGAACCTGTTAACATATTTCCCTCTAATTCTGGACGAGTGCCACTCACAAGATAGACTACAATAGAACAGATACATAAGCAACAGAGATGATCCTGGACCACCAACAGGCCCATGTTAGACACACCTACTCACCTTCAATGGACTGAGTCCCCAAGTCAGCACATATAGGATTGTATTGGCAGAAATATAGGGACAAAAGCACTTTGGATCTCTCATGATATATCTAAGTCAAATCACGCAAGGTGTTCAGTTATGAGGTCAAAACCGGTCAATCCACCACCAGCCATTCATGCAAAGCTGGACTGCGTGATGGAGTGTCTCAATTTTAGTGATAATCTTCCACTTAAATAAAGTTCTCTCTAGGTCTGTCTGCCTCAATCTGTATGGAGGGGGGGGGAAGTATTACAAAAGTTTGACGGGCTTCTGCAAACTGGTTGCTGTTGTTGTTTCTTTTTTCTTCCTCCTTTCCTTTTGATTTAAACTAACCACAAACTATGAAAACGTCGCCCTGTATTCTGTTGGGTCATCCCGACAGCCGGAGAACCTGCTTCTGGCCAGCAAATGCAAAGGAGCAGCGGTGAAATTGGCAGATTTTGGCTTGGCAATTGAGGTGCAAGGAGACCAGCAGGCCTGGTTTGGTGAGTGCAGGGTGAAACTACGCTCCCTTCCTCTTTTCTTGGTTTGTGCGGTAGAGCCAGATGGTTATGTGAACATACGCGTGTTGGCAATTTTTGTTTTCTTCCTCAGGCTTTGCAGGTACTCCTGGTTACCTTTCTCCAGAAGTTCTACGCAAAGAAGCTTATGGGAAGCCTGTGGATATCTGGGCGTGCGGTAAGAGGGAGCTACATGATTCTGCTCTATCATGGTGGGCCCGTAGAGATGCAAAGAGGGCTCCCCATTTAGTCCAGGGCTCAGCACCACATTGCAGAGCAGCTCACAAAAGTTGGGGTGTCGCCCTCAAAACTCAGAGAGAAGACAAACTCTGATAGAAGACAAACTAGAAGACAGTTTTGTAGAGTAAATTTTTTGGGGTATGGATTGCACAGGATGTTACTTACTATTATAGCTATACATTTATGTTCCTCCTCACAGAATTTTCAAGATGGCCCACAGCAAAATAATAATACTAATAATAAACACTAAGTTTAGCACTAATATGAACAAAATAGTCAAAGCTGCATGATGACACTCAGTTGCATGTGGCTGCCAAGAAAATTACCTGGATGTGGCTATGGGCTTGACTGGAGGGAGTATATAAAACCTTGGGGTCAAAATGGTGGTGAGATGGCAGGACTATCAAAGCTCCATTTGCTTTTGTGTATCACATGTACAACACACACACAAATCAGGCAATTACACCATTATGGCCAACATGTTGACTTTTATTTTAACCATATCTGTGGACACCTTGGCTAGAAGGATCCTGCTCCAGATCTTCTTCTTCTGAAAACCAGTGAATACTCTAGATTGGATGTCCCTCTCAAATCCTTTTGCTTTCTGGATTCTTCCAATCACTATAGACCTCCCATTTGCTCACACACACACACACACAGACACACACACACACACAATCCTAGTAAAAGAAGTAGCCTGCAACTCCTCATACCCTTGTAGATTGCAAGATGAGGATCAGAAACCATTTGCCTGTTTCCTTGCTTGCTTTTTCTCTGTCCCAAATCAGGTTAAGTAGAGTATGCACCTCAAGATTTGGATCTGTTTATTCGCTTAGTCCAGTTTAGATGATTGCTGATTGATCAATCAAATGGCCATCTCAAATCACATTGCAACAGGTCATTTGTTTGCTTATCAATTTGCTGTTGTTCCATTTTTCCTCCCCAGGTGTTATTCTTTACATCTTACTGGTGGGATATCCTCCTTTTTGGGATGAAGATCAGCACAAGCTGTACCAACAGATCAAGGCTGGTGCCTACGATGTGAGCAGTGGTTTCTTTTGCTTGCGTTCCCTCTGGCTTACAACCTGCCGGGTTTCAGTGGAATACTAATGGCCCAAAGAGAAAAGTTCAAAATTTGCTGTTCTTAAAATCAAGAACTGGGCTAATTGTGAGGTCTCCAGTAGGAGCTAAAGTCTCCTTGGGAATGAGTTTCAAAAGGACCAAGGGATCCTTTGCGGGCATTTGTTTCATTCTTCAGTCGATAGCTGTCAGGATCGATATCTTGGGTTTACACATCACAGTAAGCCCTAATAGGCTGTATTGCATTCAACCAATTATTTATGAAATTAAGAAATCATGATTTACAGCAGGTGCGTCCAGCCTTTTGGCTCGTCTATTACATTGAGTGAAGAATTGTCTTGGGCCTATATATATAAAATATATAATATAGTAACTATCTCTAAAAATATATATCACATAATAATGTTAAAAGTTTACAAGCTTGTGACTAGCTGTCCAGGGCCATATGCAGACCATGGGCCACAGGTCGGTCAAGCCTGATTTAGAACAATGTGTCCATTTTTTCTTTTTTAAAAAATGCCAAATATGATAACAATGATTCAGATGGAATAAATCTGTACTGATATTTAAAAATATCTATAACTGAATGCCTCATATTGAATTTTAACAACAATGTGTGGATGAAATCTTGGCTCATACCTCAGATTTCTGTTGATGTCTTTGTGTTACTCTAGTTCCGTGGTGGCGAACCTATGGCACATGTGCCACAGGTGGCACGCAGAGCCCTCTCTGTGGGCATTTGTGCCATCGCCCCAGTCCTAGGCCTTCAGCTGGGTTTTATGAAACCTTTTCGCTTTAGGCTTCCGCCGTCGAGTTCCCCCCCCCAAAAAAGGTTCAATCAATCAATTTCAAGTTCTCACGGGAAAAAAAAGATGTTGCAAAGTTGGAATTGATTGATTGAACTTTTTAGTCCCACCCAGTCTGCTGTTACCACTGCAGCCACACCCACCCAATGGGCCACACCCACCCAATGGGCCATGCCCACACGGCACCCGATGATAATAAGTAGGTTTTGGGTTACAGTTTGGGCACTCGGTCTCTAAAAGGTTCGCCATCGCTGCTCTAGTTGGTATTATAAATACCAACTTGATTGACCGGAGGGGATCCTCCTCTTTTAATATTAACCGTGTCTTCCTGCAATATCTTCTTCCTTTAGTTTCCTTCCCCTGAATGGGACACAGTCACTCCTGAAGCAAAAAACCTCATAAACCAGATGCTAACCATCAACCCTACAAAGAGAATCACAGCACACGAAGCTCTGAAGCATCCATGGGTCTGCGTAAGTATGATTGCGCCTTCCTTCTGGTATAGATTCAACCTATCTGCCCAAACATTGTTAAAGGAATCCCAAGTTTCCTTGTTTAGTTCCCTTAGAGATTCTAAATTAGTTACACCTTCTAAGATAGGATATTAGCAAAATGATGATAGATGCACAAGCTTCTGAAAAGCTTTCACGAGAGTACCTCCACTGAGTAGATGTTTTCAAATAACCTCATTTATAAAACTGCTGTCAACTTCACTGTTTTGAGTATTCTGTGGCAAGCTGACTCAAAGAGCTTGGATGATCCAAGAAGGATCCACTGAGGTTACACTTAGATGGGGATGATCCAAGAAGGATCCACTGAGCCACAAGGAGGTCCACTGCTGCTCTCTCTCCCCCTTCCCCCCCTTAAGGTTAGTTTGGGCTAACCTTATTGCTAGTGACAGCAGTGTTCCTCTGCAAGAAGCTATTCTAAATATGTTGCTATAGGGCACGGGTGTCAAACTCGATCGTGTCACGTGACGTTTTTTGCCTTTGCGGAGTCGGGATGGGTGTGGCCTGCATGTGACACATCTGGCCCACAGGCTGCCAGTTTAACACTCCTGCTATAGGCGATCTGCAGAACAACGGGTTGCGTTGATACTGTGGAAACTGCCTGGGTAGCAGATACTACAACCACCTTTTGTTGCGTTGCTTCAAGGACCTCCTTAGCGCAGTGCACTCAGTACAGTTAACTGGTCCCTAAGTTGTTTTAGAAACCTGCAGGCCAGGAAGGCAGCAGGGTCTATCTCTGTTTCCCCACAAACGCAATTCACCCTGCCTTTATGTTGACTTCCCCGCTGTCCCCTCCTTCTTTTCCTGCATGCATTTTTTTTTAATCCCAGGCCAAACACTTGAGACTTTTTCACTTGGCTTCCCTATCTTACCCTCATGCCTTCTAATATTCTTTTTTTTTGCAGCAACGTTCAACAGTGGCCTCCATGATGCACAGGCAGGAGACTGTAGAGTGTCTGAAAAAGTTCAACGCAAGAAGAAAGCTCAAGGTAAGCGATTTAAGGGGCTACGAAGGTGGAAATGCATCAGGCCTTTCAGTGTTGAATCTCTCTCTATTTAACATGCAAGGCAAGTACAACTTTAGAGCAGATGTTTCAGCCCTGATCTCCAATTCAAAGCCAGTCTCTTTTTATTTTTTTATTTTTATTTTAGGAAACAAAGGTTGCATTTATAAAAATTACTGTCTAAAATGGCAGGGACATTAAAACAAACAATCCCAAAAGTGACTAAGATAGTTTACATTTCAGGTATCATTTTTGCCTTTTTGTCATTCTTTTTTTTTTATTAAAAGTTTTACAAATCCAATACATTATAGCCGATACCCCACCCACCCTCTCCCCCCTCCCCCACTTCCCAGAGCTGATTACAGGGTAAAAAAAAAATAAACAAACATAATCTAACTAACATAACCCGACTATGCTATCAATCAAATCCATAACACACTTTAACTCCTTTTCAAAACAAGTATTAACAAATTAAAAACAATAATAATTATAATTAAACCATAATACTAAAAATAATATAAATTCAAACATATTGAACTATTAAAATAACCTAAAATCTACTCATAAGCGAGATAATACTTTTCAGTCTCATATTTCTTTTGAATATAATCAATCCATCTTCTCCAAACCGAAATATATTTTTCTTGTGAATGGTCCTTCAAATAGGCGGAGATTTTCGCCATTTCTGCTAAATTAGACACCTTAACTATCCATTCTTCCATAGTAGGCAAAGAGTTTTTCTTCCAATATTGCCCCACAAGTAATCTTGCAGCTGTTATAAGATTCAACATCAAAAAGCCAGTCTCAACACACAAAAATTAGACTGAATGCATTGGTTAGCAGTTGATGTCACTGATGGCAGATTGCATCTAGCATATAGGGACACCCCCTGCCCCTCAAATGTGTCGACTGCCCTACTTTACTCGACACACGAAGACCTTAGTCCCCAATGTCGCTTGGCTCCACCAGAGCAAGCAGATGATGGACAAACAGACAGAGTTGTATTGTGTGAGAAAGGCTGCGGAGACTCAAGCTGTTCTTTCTCTTAGCCATGTTTCCATCAGAGCCGGAAGGATTAAGGTTAGGAAAAGACAAGATTGTCCTTTGTCATAGGCTGAAGATGAAGGAGCTTCCTGGGAATCTCCGTAGAGTAGGTTAAATGAAATGAAGGAGGAACATCCATCCTCTAAGGAGGAAATGGGCTGTTCATAGCTCAGGGAATAATGTCTATGTGATGGTCCCACCATTATGTTTTTGCTCTATACCAGGATGTCCAACCTTGGTCACTTTTAAGACCTGTGGACTTCAATTCCCAGAATTCTCCAACAATAACAATAGAAATAGCACTTAGAATTATGTACCGCTTCATAATGCTTTACAGGACCCTCTAATTTACAGAGTCAGCCTTTTGACCCCAACAATCTGGGTCCTCATTTTATTAACTCCGAAGGATGGAAGGCTGAGTCAACTTTGAGCTGGTCAGGATCGAATTCCTGGCAGTGAGTCTGGTTGTGGCATTTTGGAAGTTGAAGTCCACAAGTCTTAAAGTGGCCAAGACTGGACACCACTGTTTCATACAGTATATTCATATGGTGGGAAACAAGCCAATGTGACATTTGACACACACAATAAACCAGAGATGAAGTTTATGGAACATTTAAGTTAGCAAGAGAAGCTGGCTTCTGTCTTTGCTTCAGTTCCTTGTTGGTTTTAAAATCAAATTAAGACTCTTTGCTCCTCTCTGGATGAGAAAGGCATTAGAGAGGGAAAAAAAATGATTATGCTTCAGAACATGTTAGAGATAATTTTGAAATTTGCCCCAAAGTTTAGACATCTGTTTCTTTTCTAAAAACAACCTATTTCTCATTACAATGCACTCATTACTTAATAATTCCATGTCTGTTACACATTATTTCACCTATATTCCATCGTACTGGAAAAACTGTGTAGTATTACAGTGGGCAGCTTAGGGCACTAGCGTTTATCTTCTGTACATTCTCCAGGCCTCATACTAATTGATCTGATTTATTTGACAAGATGTCTTTCACCTTCCAAGCATGGCAAAGGTTAGCTATAATGAAAAGAAATGGAATTATTTCATTTTTGCCCAACAGCATGTTATCTACATTAATCTTTTTTCTGCAAAAGATTTGAATGTTAATCAACAAGCCACTTCAGAAAACCTTCATTAAATCAGTAGTTCTTCTTAGCAATTAGGGAGATTTTTCTGCTATTCTCCAATGAATCAAATTTTAGTTGCCTCAAAGTTTGCATTTGTTACAAGTGGCAACAGCCAGCTTGTACTGTCTTCTTAATGCTAGTTTCAGGGATGGTGTTGTTATCTAAGTGGACTGTAGCTGGGATAATGAAAAAGACAAAGGGCAGAATGTTTGGTTAGTGTGTTGAATATGGTGGGCCACTGTTTGAGCTGCCATTTCCTGGGAAGGTCAGCAGGAGATTTTAGGAAAAATTCCTATTATTCCAGCTTGACTTTGCTCAGAGACCTATTTAGAATAGAATAGAATAGAATAGAATAGAATAGAATAGAATAGAATAGAATAGAATAGAATAGAATAGAGAATGGAAGAATAGAATAGAGAATGGAAGAATAGAACAGAACAGAACAGAATAGAATAGAATAGAATAGAATAGAACAGAGAATGGAAGAATAGAATAAATAGAATAGAATAGAATAGAACAGAGAATGGAAGAATAGAACAGAGAATGGAAGAATAGAATAAATAGAATAGAATAGAATAGAATAGAATAGAATAGAATAGAATAGAGAATGGAAAAATAGAACAGAACAGAATAGAATAGAATAGAATAGAACAGAGAATGGAAGAATAGAATAGAGAATGAAAGAATAGAATAAATAGAATAGAATAGAATAGAATATGAGATAGAATATGGGATAGAATAGAATAGAACAGAGAATGGAAGAATAGAATAGAAAATGAAATAATAGAATAGAATAGAATAGAATAGAATAGAATAGAATAGAATAGAACAGAGAATGGAAGAATAGAATAGAATAGAATAGAATAGAACAGAGAATGAAAGAATAGAATAGAGAATGGAAGAATGGAATAGAATAGAATAGAATAGAATAGAATAGAATAGAATAGAATAGAATAGAATAGAATACTTTAATGTCACTTTAGATGTACACCAATCGACATACATTAAAATGAAATTTTGTTGCATACAGTTCTCAAAAGGGTCACCATCTCCAATATACACTACATAAATACGATAAGAAAAATTGCGTATACCCTCTTACCCGCATACACTCTACGACACAGAGAAACAACACAATCTAGTTCGGATGTATACATGTAAATGGCAAGAAAAACGAATCTTGCGAGTTTCCCGGACGGATGGCATAGGGAACAAAGCTATTACAGAATCTGGTAGTTCTGCTGGAAGTACTTTGAAATCTCCTCCCAGAAGGGAGCAACAGAAACCGACCGTGAAGTGGGTGTGTGAGGTCTCTAACAATGCTTCCAGTTCTAAGCACACACCACTTGTAAGCAGTATCCTGAAGAGCAGGAAGCAAGCTTCCTATAATTCCTATATACATTTCCTATAATTTGGTACATTGCTTATTCTTCGTGTATGCAAAACATATACTTCTCTCTTTCTTTGTGTTTAAAATTCCTTCAAGAATTTCCTTTGTACATCTATTTACTTTTTTCTGCTTTCTTCCTTTTAGGGTGCCATTCTTACTACTATGTTGGCAACAAGAAACTTTTCAGGTGAGAAACGCTTTGCTTAATGACAAGCCAAAACTAAAAAAACACACACACCTCAGTGCTTTCCATACGTCCTGTAATTAAAACAAAGCAAGCAAAAAGAAATTTTTCTAAAGCACTATTATTTAGCCTCAGTCTCAGGTGGTGACATTCATCCCTTTTCTCTTAATACTCTGTGTTCTTTGGGCATGGCTGTATTATCATCAGAAAGATTAAACTGGGACTAGAGGTAGGGCCCAAACAATTTATTTCTGCTGAAAGAGTATCATCAGTGATTTAAAAGGTGGCGGGGGGGGGGGGGAGGAAATCCTGAATGGCCATTCAACAAGCTTGCTTTCATAACCCCTGCCAAACTTCCTGTGGACCTATTCTCCTCCTTTGTTGTCCTAAATAAATGAAGCCAAAGTCTTTGGATTCAATGCTTTAGCACTGGGATACCCATCCATGCAGCCTTTCTGTGTGGCTCCTTCTGCCCCACCTCCAACTGCCTTCAATTATATTTCTCAACTTCCTCCTTACATTTACCTAACCTAGCTTGATTGCAGTTTAATCCTGACTCTGCCCCAGAACTTTCAGGAGTTGCTGCAAATTCCCCCAAAATCCTTTTCCTCTGCCTCTGAAACGATCCTCTTTATTCTACAACTGTTTTTGGTTTAAGTAGGGCAGAGTCCCTAGGTCAGTGGTGGCGAACCTATGGCAAGCGTGCCAGAGGCGGCACTCAGAGCCCTCTCTGTGGGCACGTGTGCCATGCCCCGGAGATGCCAACCGTCCCTCTTCAACCAGCCACCCGCTAACTCACCGAGGTCCCACATGGCCGGATGCATCACAGCAAGGCTGGTTTCCCTCTCCCCCACCCTGCCTCGCCTTGTCTCGCCTCACCCCACAGTACAAGCCTCCTGCCCACCGCCCCATCTGCCAGAGACCCCCTGGATCTCCCCAACCCTGTCCGGCCCCCACAGGCATCCCTCTCCACAAGCAACATCGAGGTGACCACGCCCACCTTGGTCACACCCACCCAGTCTGCCATGACCACCACAGCCACACCCATCCAGTGGGCCATGCCCACCTGGCGCCTCGTGATAAATAAGTGGATTTTGGGTTGCAGTTTTGGCACTCGGTCTCTAAAAGGTTCGCCATCACTGCCATAGGTTGTTTCCTTAGCTTTTCCTGTAGTGGTTGAGTGGTTGAGAGGGTTTGTGGGTGGAGAATCTATTAAAGGGGAAACCTTAAAAAGGCACATGCTTTGGACTAGAGCGCATTAATTCTTTGAGTTGGCTTTGCCTGGGGATGCAGAGTTGCATTGTGCTTGTTCCATCCTGTGGGTCTTAGTTCACAATGGACATCCATCCAGGAAACATTTTCTAAAAGAGCAAAGTACTTTTCTCACTATAGGAAATGAGTTGCTTTTCCTGCCAAAGAAAAGAAAAGAAAAGAAAGAAACGAACACACCTGATTTCTTTAAAAAAATAAAAAAGGGTGAAAGATGGCTGAGTAGATGCCTCAAGTGGTAGTCCACCCCTACTGTCGTCTCTCCTTGCTCACCTGCGGGGTTTCTTTTCCCATCACTGTTCATGGGCCTAATCAAAGCCCTATGAATTTTCCAGCAAATCGCGGCGCAATTCATGTTCTGCACCTAGAAAACTCCAATTCTGCAGCTAGCAGGGGTTGTAAAGGCCTGTTCGTTCTAGATAAGGATATACTATGCTATTATCAACAACGAGAATTGGTTTTATCTAATTCAGGATGCAGGAATTTCTGGGCAAAAAGTGTGTGTTGATGGACAAAGTGACTGACTGGGAAGTGGTGGCATTTTGAAGACATTTGAGGAAGAAGAGGGAAGATGGGCAAAGATGTTGAAAGAAGCAGTGATCTTCAGCCATAAATAAATAAATCTCAAACTTTTTGTTCTCCTAGCCTGTTGCTAGCTGGGGGATTGATGGTATCTCCTGGAATTATAGCTGGGTAAGCTACTGGATTTTAATGGCAGCCTGATCCTCCCAGTTGGAAAACAGGTGATGGCTACCTGTGTTCTGCCATATGTTTCTTTTACTTCTTCCTAAGTTAATTTTATGGTGATTGCCAAATTCCATAAACATTTCTGGGATCACAGAATTATTGAGTATTTTCTGGTTTTGAGGCATTCCAACTTGGCATTTAAGCATTTCTTGCCAAGTGATTCTTCCATTAGGAGGCTCAGAATCATAGTGGAGGAAACCCCAGAAGTGGAAAAATGATGATTACTGTGTTTTAATACATCAGTGAAGCTTAGGAAGCCAGCAGCAGAAGAGGTGCATGGCTCCCATACTGCATTCCATACTTTAGCAACTCTCTAGGAATTCTCGACCCCCAAAGAAGGACTTCTTTAATGTTCAGCAGACCTTCCTCATTCCAGCTGCATTTGATTAATCCTGGTCCTACGGAAGCCTTTCCTAGCCATCATGCCTTCCAGGACTCAGTAGCAGAATGAGTACTTTAGAGCATCTTCAAAAGTGATGAGCCTAAAACCTGGACCCAGGGTTCCCCTACAGCTGATGGGCTTCCGCTGCAGAGAAAGAAGATAATAACTCTTGATCTGATGGAAAAGATCCATGGATTGTGTAAAAGTGAATGCACGTTTGCTACCAGTAGTCATGCCTCTTCATCTCAACTTTAACTCTAATCTTGTTCTGCTTCCTTTGTCTCCTTTCTTTCCCCTTCTGTCTTTCCCTCTGCCTTTTCTTTTTCTTTCTCTCTCTGCCTCCACTCTTCTCTAACTCTTTTCCCCATCCCTTTTCCTACTTGCTGTCCTTTATTTCTTTGTTTTCCACTCTGGTGCTAACAGTGGGCAGACAGACCACCGCTCCTGCTACCATGTCTGCAGCAGCAGCAGCCTCCGGTGCCACCATGGGGTTGGTGGAGCAAGGTAGACGTGTCCGGAAGAGACCCTCCTCACTTTCCCCTCTTCTCATTTTGAAATCTTGAGCGCATGTTGTGTCATTCATCCAAAGCACTTCATCCCACCCGGTTGTAAGATATCAGGGCTAGCCGCTTCACCGCCAAAGAGCCCAAACGAGGGCCACCTCTGTAGAAGTCTGTCTGTTAGTGGTGTCAGTTCTGTCTCGCTCCATTAAGTCGTGATTAGAAATGGTCGTGAAAGCGTTACAGGAAGGGATTGAAATCAACTAAATGTAAAAGTCGCAAGTCAGCCATCTCCAGACCCTGAATGAAGCAGAGTGGAGGTTGCAGACCAATGACAACAACAGGAGATGCGAGCTTTGCAGCTTAAGTAGTGGTGGTGTAGCTAGAGGTTGAGGATCTGGTGGGTGGATATTATTTTAGCGTATTTTTTTTGAAAATATATTATTATATATTATTAAATACCACCTGAGGCTATTACGCTAACAAAAAATATCCAACAGAAAATGGAAACCACAAAGAACAGTGGCAGTCTTAATAAAAGGAGAAGTGGTGACTGCCAGGTGAATGCATCCTTACTTGTGAGGTGTTTGGTGAGATTGTGAGACGTTGCACACGATTTCTCATCAAAAATTACTAAGTTGCTCTTCATGATTGAAACTAAATAGTCTATTGCAGGGATGTTGCAAATATCATAAGTTCAGGCTGGTTGCTGAATGCCCAAAATGTAATCCCGTGACGCCTTCCTCCCCTCCGCCCATCAGAACTTCGAATTCGGGTCATAAATAGTTCTGGGAAGGTCCATCATAACTCTGAACGGTCGCTAAATGATCGGTCGTAAGTCAAGAATTACCTTTAAAGATAAAAAAGACACTGTAACAGCATGTAACCGAGGTTGCCCTAGTTCAAGGGTAGGCATCCTTGGCTCTTTTATGGCTCGTGGACTTCAACTCCCAGAATTCCTGAGCCGGCTGGCTCAGGAATTCTGGGAGTTGAAGTCCACGAGTCATAAAAGAGCCAAGGTTGCCTACCCCTGCCCTAGTTAAATCAACAACCCCTCAAAGACCAGTGGAGCTTGCCTTATTTCCTGGCCCAAATGTCTGGAGGAAGAGAGAGGTCTTCAGAACCTTGAGATGAACTGTCAAGTCCATTAAAGCTGAAGTACTTGCTAAAGAATACACATGCATCTTTTTATCTGCATGCAGAATTCGGATATATTAATATTTCTAACATAGCTCTTTTCCAATCATGAATACAGCTATGCCAACAATGAGCCTCCTCCAATGTCATTTAACCCTGCCAAAAAAAATTTGGTCGATTCTTTCATAAACAACCAACCAACAAATTGATTTTTACACTTCGATAGGAATTTTGGAGCATTGCCCACTTCGCTGCCTGTCCAGTCTTTTTGATTTGGAGCTTAGGCATTTGAAATGCAGAAGGAAGAATATCCATTTCCGCTCTTGCTTTGCTAATTATTTGTGATGAGTTGGGAGTTAAATTCTTTCCCCCAAAAAGATTGCTGCTTGCTCAGTTGAACCTATTGGTGCTAATAAAAATATGCACTACATGAGCTGGGCTATAACAGTGCAAAATCCATGTATCACTGCGGATTTGATCTTTGTTTCATAGCCTGACCTTTGTTGGAGTTTAATTTTTGCATGAGTAGGATGATGAGAATTACTTTTTCCCCCTGTTGAAAGCAGGCCTGACTCTGATGGAGATGTTCTCCTTTGCTAAAGAGAACTGTAACTTTATAGATCAGGCTTATTTTGTTAACATGCAGAAAATGTAGACCAGCCCTTTCCAGAAGGTCATTCTGCTCCCTGTTCTGCTGTTTAAATCTTAAACCTTAAAACTCTTATCTCAGGAAACAAACTAATTATGGTTACCTCTACCATCATCTGAAATCCTCACCATGGCTTGAAATTAGGCTCCTATAACTTTCAGACATCATGGCCCTTAGCTGATTAGGAATTCATGGAGCTGAGAACTAAAACATCTAGAGCAGGGGTTCCCACGCTGGCTGAGGAATTCTTGGAACTGAAGTCCACACATCTTAAAATTGCCAAGATTGGGAACCCCTGATCTTGAGACACCAGGCTAGAGAAGGCCTTATGATCATCTTGACGGCTAGGCACTGGTTTCAATTGATAAAAATATATCATTAGGCTTTTCCGTTTATGAAATATGCAGTGAAACGGACTGTGCTGTCCTTTGACTAGAGATTTGCAGCTCAGCCATAAATTAACCTTGGATAGGTTAATATGCTTCTGATTCAATACCATAGTAGGGTTATGAAAGCAAAATGGGTTATGAATGGTTATGAAGATAATGCACTAAGTGAAGGATTCTTAGTAGTTTTCTGTTACGGATAAGATGAAAACATGGATGAACTATTAGAAAAACATAGGAGGACTAGAAACCCAAAACTGGAGCATACTTGATGCTCGTAAAGAGGGGAAGATGTACATCTGAAGATTGAGTGCAGCTTAGAGTGAAGAAAACAGGTGAGACTGGTTGCTTTAGAGTAAGGGGTTTAGATCCAGGAGCACGCCTTTCTTCCATATCTAATCCATCCAGACAGTTCTTGAGGCATGCCAGCGTAAGTTTCCCTTGATGCTTTATTCATGCCAGAACTTCTTGTTGCTTGGTGTAGTCACAGGTTTGTCTGTATCCCCCCCAAGTTTTGTGATAGTGTGAAAATGATAAATGGTGCATGGAATTTGTGTAGCCCTGGTGCATGCTTTGGGCCTTGAATAGAAGAATTAGGAGTAATTCTTCTCAGACAGCAGACAAGTGCTTCTGATGTGCTGAAACTGGCTGATGTGCATGCAGGATGGATAGCTCTACACGGTAGCAGTAATTTGATTGGCCTAAGCTAATTTTGAGTTAACGTCGTTCTGAAAACCCACCTTAAGATTTCAGGCTGGGGGGAAAAAAGAGAAAGAAGCAAAAGAGAAAATTACGTTACTGCATTGCCTGTCTCCTTGATTTTGTATACCAGTTCTTTAAAGTAAAGTATCCTACTGCTTTGTGCCTTTTCTGCAGTGTAAAAGCTGTACATTATATTCTTCTTCAACCTTCTCCAAACCAGTGCTTTTCATGTATTGGACCAACTCCCTCAATTTAAATGAAGGAAAGTCACAAAGGCTCATTTTTGGATTGAACTTAAAGCTGCCTTTTGTAAGATCCAGAAAAGGCTTAATAAGTAGGTTTTCTGTTTGGGAACAGTTATAATTATTCCATTCGGATTCTTCCACTCTGCCTTATATGTAAGCATCTACGGCTACCGCTGCTACATAATCACCAGTAACATCTTTTATTATTGTCATCTCAGCAAATTGCCTCTGCAAGGATTTTAGATATTTTAAAGCTCTAAGTCTTCTTGTTCACCCTTTATTCTCAGTTATTATTTAAAGCTGCATCGCGTATTGCAGATTTTTGCTTTCCATGATATTTCAGCCTTGTTTCTCTAATTTAGCATCTTCTTCTAAAATTGAAATTCAAGAGTATGTTATCCAACTGATAATTGATAATGGTTTTTCTAATGCTGAAGATGAAATACAGTAGCTCAGTGTGTCTCAACCTTATCAACTTTAAGACGTGTGGACTTCAACTTCAGATAATAAGTAATAGCTGGCTGTGGAATTTGGGGGATTGAAGTCCAAATGTCTTGAAATTGCCAAGGTTGAGAAACACTACTGTAGCCAGTTCCTCATTTTCAGAGAGAAAGGAGAGACACAGCACTGAGGCTACTCCAAGAACAGAGACAATCATGAAATGAATATACATTCTTCTGGTAGGCTGCCTGATCAACACAATGTTTTGAAATGCATTCGGTCCTCTAATTCTCAGGTGTATTATTACTCTCAAGCTTTCTGATTCTACAAGAATAGTTTGATGATCACTATGTGCCTTCTCCTGTTGCCCTCTGTCTATTAGAAGATATTATAAAATATTGCCGTCAAACGTTGGACATGATATAGAGACTACTATAGTGACTAAAATGCCTATATTCAAGAAAGATCAATGGCTCTTGATCCTTTTCCTACCATGATTTTTTTCCCTTCCAAATTCTGAGCAATGCAAGATTTTTACTGGATTCATACGATTGCCAGCACAAGAGATGTTGACTTTGTCTTGTGACAGAGTTGTTGCCATGGGCCATTTCATTTAGTTATTATTTAATCGATTTTATTTTGCTTCCATACTTTGTAGTGTACACTTCCTGAGAGATGGGTGGCCATGTGCACTTTTTTTAGTTTCTTTGGATAGAGGGATGGGTGGCATATAAATGTATTAAATTTATATGCCACCCATCCCACTATCCAAAGAAACTGTGGGCACTTAAAATGGATGAATGGATGGATAGATAGATGATAGATAGATAGATAGATAGATAGATAGATAGATAGATAGATAGATACTATTTCTCATGTTATCACCTTAGTATAAAAATGAGCAAAGTAAGATCAATAAGGGAAAGGTAGAAACATTCATTGGAAAGGTGGTGGAAGGAAAAAAAACAAAACTAAAACGTCTTCCAACGTTGGTACAGGAAAGAGAGAAATCTACAACAAATGCTGAAGGGCGCTTGACCAGCGTTTGGAGGAGATGGTGCCACACTGCAGATGGCCACAAGCAAGGCTTGCCTGCAAGTGATGAAAGAGCAAGATTTCTTTTTTTTTTTTAAAGATATTTTATTGGTTTTTTTTAATTTTTAAGAAAAAGTACTCAGGACACACCGTGGTGTTTGGGTAATCAGACATTCAAAAGTAAAAACATAAATAAACAACTCAACTTAATACATTCACTGTCCCCTCTCTATTTCCCTCAAATAACATAATACGTTTAAAATATTCCATTTCTAAATTAAATTTCTATTACTACTAAACCTGTTTTGAAACTTTATCAGTTTACAATTACCATAATCAAATTTAACTTTAAGTCAACAAGTTATCAATTCAGGTATCCCTTCCAGATGTAGTCTAGTTCTTAATCTCTCTCATCCCTCCTTTTATCACCAATCTCATTTATTTCTTCTTCCACTACATCAGTGTTTCCCAAACTTGACAATTTTAAGGCATGTGGACTTCAACTCCCAGAATTCCACAGCCAGCAACGCTGGCTGTGGAATTCTGGGAGTTGAAGTCCACATGCCTTAAAATTGTCAAGTTTGGGAAACACTGCACTACACAATAGCTATCTTAGTTAAAAAATAATGTTAAACCTTAATTCATTTCAATTCATTACACACCATCTTTTTCTATCTTTTAAAGTATAATGTGAAAAAGAAATAACCTTCCAACATAGGATGATAGTACAGTTCTTAGAAAGAGAGGAAAAGAAAAAAAATTTTTTTTCTGTACCCCAAAAAATATAGAAGTAAAATATAGTCTTTAAAATTTTGTTCTATTTTTATAGAACGCCTTTCTTCCCCAAAAATGTAGAAGCTGCCTTTTCAAACCAGGGAAATAATTCCAACAAAACTCTTTCAGGTACCATAAACAAAATAAAATAGAGAGAATAGCAAAGAAAAATCTCACCCAGATTCACCACGGGGGTTCTTACAGCTTAGATGTTCTTTGACTTGCGGTTTGAAGCAGCAGGGTGATCGGCCATTTTACTGGCCGATCTTCTTCTCCGTCAGCCCTCAGAGATGGCTCGGACAGCTGAAGGAGCTGCCGCTCCTCAGCAGCCAAGCAGAGCCTCCTCGACAGAAGTCGCACCCTCCAGGGCAACTTTTAACCCTCATAAAGATCTACCGGCGGAGGGAAGGCTAGCCACCGAGGAGATGAGTCTCCCCAGGCGACTAGGGACGCCACGAACCGAAACTGGAAGTCAGAGCAAGACATCTTTGATGAACTCAGCAATCCATAAGTTTGTAATGGTGATGGGTGGTTTACCCAGATTTTTTAGGGTCTTATATGCACCTTGAGTCTGGCTTAATAGCTCCTTGGCAGCCAATATTGCAGTTTCTTCAGTTATGCTCATAGCTGGATGTCCCACTCAACACCTTGACCGCTGCATTATGCAACAGCTGAAACTCATGGACCAAGTCCAAGGAAAATACTTTCATTTAAAATACTGATTTACTGACATAACTTCTGACGAAATCAAGATACTATGATAATATTCTACCTCCTCCTGATGGGATGAGGAGAAAGTCATCTTGTGTATTTTCCAAGTACTCTATGAGATCAACTTCATCGTTTTGATTATGGTGGCTTAAAAATGAAGGGCATTGGATTGGATCCAGTGGTACTTGTATGTTGATGAAATCACGTTCACTAGTGGAATATACTCCTCCTTTCTATAGCCCCTTCCAACACAGCTCATTAATCTCTTGCAGATGTGAAGGATTCTCCATAACACATTTGGATTGATCAGAAGGAAGGAGAACTAGGGAAAATCACCTTGTACAATATTAGCTGTATCGTTAATAAACAGACTTCCTACATCTCTTTTTGGGTGTCTGAGGCTTTGCATGCTGCTAGAGCTATGGCAGTGTTGAAAAATAGCTGTAATTTTCTGCACCCGACATAATAAGCTAGAATGCATTCTGTTGTACATTTCTTCTTACGTTTGGAGGCTTTGCTATGTAGCAAGACCAGTAATTCTAACATTCAGAGATATATGGGGCCATTGCCCCACCTTTGCTCTTAACAAACAAGCTTGCCAATATTGTTTCTATCAAAAGGCATAGTCAACGTAAAGCCATTTAAAGCTCAAAGGTAGCATCAACTATTAAAGTCACATCCCGTGAATGTTATATGACTAAAATATTTTCAGTCCAATACACAATCCATTGGTCATACTTCTTGGGAATTTACTTATTCTTTATTTTATTTGATAAATTTATTTGCTGCCTATCTCACTGTAACGGCTACTCTAGGCAGCTTACAGTAATAAAAAGGAAGAACAAGGAAAGGTGTGCCAACAGGACAGAAGTAAAATAATAGAACAGTAAAATATGCAATGACAAAGGAACCCAACAAGAATAAATACATCAATAAGATAAAAGAACAAGAGAGTTGGAAGGGACCTTGGAGGTCATCTAGTCCAACCCCCTGCTCAAGCAGGAAACCCAACACCATTTCAGGCAAATGGTTGTCCAATCTCTTCTTAAAAACCTCCAGTGTTGGAGCCCCCACCACTTCGGGAGGCAAGCTGTTCCACTGATTGATGGGTGGAGAGCAGAAACCAAGGAGATGGAGTCTGCCATCCATCTAGCAGCCATCTTCAGGGTGGAACTCCCCCATTTGATCCCATTTTGGGAATTCTGGGGTTTGCAGTTCCAGCAACTGGGTTTGGGAGAGACTTGACTTTTGGAGCACCAAGTTTATTAGGACAAATTTCCACACTGCATCATGGGCTCTACGAGTCACAGGTAAACTTGTAAAAAAAAGAAAGAAAGAAAAGGAAACTTTTGTAAGGATTAAGGGAAGAGTGGGAAAAGAATTGTGTGTTTAAGAAAACCCGAGTGTTGTTGATTCTGGTGTCATGGTGTTTGTATATTGTGGGAAACGATGTCATCTTACTTGGAGTTTATTTTCTATCCATGAGTTTCCACTCTTCCATTAGTGTGGTGACTGTGTGGTCCATTTCCTCCCTGTGCGTATGAGCAAAGTCTTCTGTGGTGCTGCTGCTTCACTTCCCCCTTGGTGTCAAGACAGGGCATCTATCCCAAAGGCTTTGCTTTCCGTCTCAACACTTTTTCTCTCCCCCTTTTTTTTCCCTCTCCCTCTCTTTCTCCCCATCCCTCCTCCAATCCTCCTTCTTACTGCCTCTCTCTCTCTCTCTCTCTCTCTCTCTCTCTCTCTCTCGCCTTTTCCTCTTCTGTAAATTACTGTAAGGTAAGCAAACTTTTTGTCGCGTTCTGGCCTTTGATAAGATACCTATCAATGGGGGTGACTGGGCTTAATGTTGGGACCGAGGGGGTTATAAGGCTGGGATTCAGAAGCAGATGGAGTCATTTTCTTCTGCATACGGTGCTCCATCTGACATCAGTATCACAGTAGATCCAATAATAGATTGTAACTTGGTTTCTTTTACTGCACACTAGACATTCGACTGTACAAATTCCCCGGCTTTGGCCCAGATACAACATAAGACTCATCAACTATTCAATCCCTAGAGGATTCTCATGGCTTTGTCGATTCCCTGAAGTTCTCTTAACCACATCCAAATAATGGACAACCAAGTTTCTATTCACTTTAGTCTTAATTCCTACCACACTTGCTCTCATCAGTCTTCTTAACCCCACTCTCAGCCTTACCATGCATTTCATTTCAGTTCAGCTTTTTTTTTTTTTTTTTTTTTTTGCCATATCACTCTTGGGTCTCTCCTCAGCCAAATAATAGCAACAAAAAACTATTACAAAAACCAAAAACCGATCATGCAATGGCCAAGAAATCCATATTCTCTGAATGCTAAACTCCAACCTAACCATAAGAAGCCAGTGCTGTAATCATTGAATTTTTGAGGATTATTAATATCTCATGAGATGTAGGTGGAAATGAAATGATTTTATACCACCTTTTACATGGAAATCTCAATTACAGAGATTAAAAAAGACCGGTGCTAGGTTGGGCATAATACGGTCACAATCTTAACACATGGGAAAACAATGCAGCTTGCTTAATGGACTGTAATGGAGTGGCTTCAATAAAGAAGCAGATGTGACTTGTTTAGAAATCAGAATATGGGCTCCAGCCTTGCTTCAAAGATTAAAAATGGTTGCTAGGAGCAGAATTGTATAGCTTGGCTGAGAGTCAGCTTGGGTTACAGCTCGTCTTTTAAGAATTTGGAAATTCTCAGTGCAAAAGGAGAGAGCCTGCTTGTGTAGTGGTTAAGGCACCAGGCTACCAACTGGGAGATTGGGAGTTCTAGTCCCACATTAGACTGACTTTGGGCCAGTCACTCTCCTTCAGACTTAGGAAGGAGGCAATGGCAAACCACTCCCAAAAGGTTTTGTCAAGAAAACGGCAAGGATTAATCCCAGACAGTCATCAGGAATCAACACTGACTTGTAGGCATCTCCCCAATCCCCCCAAATCCTGTGCTTAGCCAAATTTAGTTGGTCATGAAAAACTAAGTGGGGTTGGACCTAACTACTCCGTGGATGGGGAATTACTGGGAGATGCTAGGATCGTGGGGCTAGATTACATGATGATGAGATGATGATGATGATGATAGTAGTGTCATCTTAGAAGAAGACAGATTGTTGCCAAGATAGTTATAGGGGCATCTCCAAGAATCAGGGTTGTCTTGAAGGTTTACCTAGTATAAGAAAGACCGATACTCCTTGTTTCAAATAGAAAAGAACCTGTATGCAATTCTGTTGAAAATATCTAGTATTTTCATGGCAAATGTCAGCATCTCTAAAATGAGTAGGTACTTAGGATGGGTCTTGGAGCTATTAGCACGAAGGAATTAATATTCAAGAAGCTGTCCCCGTTCTTCGGCAAGTTTGGCCAAAGAGGAGAAGGAATGCTTGGAGAATTTCTCCTTAGAAGGATCCTGTCCCACTTTATTCAGACCACTGCTTTGTTAAACAGAACACTGCTCTACAGAGATGCTCTGCTTTTGTAGCTGGGCACAACGTGTGCCCAAGCCAAGCCAATGGCAGTTTGAGAAACAACAGTGACTAAAGTACCATTGAGCGAAGCTTCCACTGTTTTGTATTATTGCAGACCCCTTACTGACCTCCCTGTTTTGGGGGGGGGTTGCCCATTTGCGAAACTTATTCATCTGTAGGTCTACTTCTGGCTTGGGACTTTGCCCGTGCTCACTGGGCTTTGGGAATTAGCCATTGTTCTCAACTCGCCTTTTAGCAGTTGGATGGGGAAACAGCATCAGTGCTGCTGGTGTGAGGGTGGTGTGTTTTTGGGGGGAGGGGGGGAGGCTATTTAGACAGTGCTTTCGCAGGATACCACGAGAGTTGCCACTAAAATCTCTCTTTCCTTCCCTGTGCAGCAGCTAAAAGTTTACTGAACAAGAAGGCGGATGGCGTGAAGGTAAATATCTCTCTGGGCTTTAGTGGGACATTCCATGAAAGAAAAAAAACAGGGAAAGAGATTCCAGCTTGTGCTGTATTAACAGGAGAGATTGTTCTGCTCTGGGTCCATGATCGTTTTCAGAAACTCAATTAGCAAAACGGTAATTTCTAAATGGTAGAAATTAAAGTACTCTTCTATTCGCCACAAGTTAAAATTCTCTGAAAGGAGAGACCAATCTCTTCCAAAGCATTAGCTTTACGTAATTGCTAGGTAAATCATGAAGCGATGCACCCTTTAAATCCTTGATATGGATTGTCTGAATGAAAAGAGCTTTGTATTCATTCATTCATTGACGAAAATGTGTATGTTTGATACAGCCTCAGACGAACAGCACCAAAGGCAGCACCGGAGTTACCAGCCCAAAAGCGACCCTTCCACCCGCCACACTGGTACAGTTTTCCTTCTATTTTCCTTATGTTTTTACACAAAAAAAAAATGATTTCCCTGTGGTTTTGCTGATGTAGTTGCTCCTTAATGCTTGCTGATACAACTGTACATGATTTAAGATGACTTCAACTCTACGTTCTTTCTCTAACTTATCGGTTACTGTTGTGGATCCATGAATTCTTTCGTGCTGACCTTAAATTAAAACATTTAAGATTGAACTGTATTCTAGGCAGAAAAGTCAACTGAGTGGGGTCGTGTGTGTGTGTGTGTGTGTGTGTGTGTGTGTGTGTGTGTGTATGTGTGTGTGTGTGTAAAGTTTTTTAGACAGACCGGTCTGATTGATTACACCTTGGCATTTTGACTGATATATAAAATTTTTCTTTGCCCACTAATTTTTTCAGTATAAAAAGTATTAAAAGAGGTCAAGGGATGGAGACAGCAGATTTAAATTAAATTGTATGAATCCAAAACAGCACATGGAATTGTCCAGAAAAGAATAGAGCACATCTACATCATACATACACTAGAAAGGTAACAGAATGTTACAAATGCAGGAAATGGACTGTTATAATTGATCAAAATAACAAGGCTGAACTTCTTTTCTTACAGAACAAACTCTGAGACCCATATTCAATGTTTACAGCCCATTTATCTTTGACAGCTTTCTTTGTAATTATTTAATTTAAAATTAGACTTTGAACTGGTTCTCACGATGAAAAATGTTGTTTTCCATTTATTTGGTTTTTATGAGCTAAAAGAGGCAATTTGAAATGCTGTCATCATATGATAAATGCTATTTTCAGAGTATTGATAGGTAGCGATCATTTCCCAAGCTATATGGACAGCCATTTGTCCAAAATGGTATAGGGTTTCCTGCCTCAGCAGGTGGTTGGACTAGATGACCTCCAAGGTCCTTCCAACGTTACTACTACTACTACTACCACTACTACTACTACTACTACTATTATTATTATTATTGTTTTTATATCAGTCATTGGCCCTTCCTTTCAAAGAGAAAGTATTAACTGAGTAAGATGACACACATATAGTCAATTTAAGTAGTTTATATTAGGAAAGATTCCAGAGAATAAACTTAGTAAGACTCTGGAAGTTTTTTTTCCCCTCAGCATAGAAGCATCCTTGATGATAATATATGTTGGGACAGTGTGGCAGGAACTACCAATCCCTTCTGTGATCAAGGGGAACAAATATTTGCCTTCCAAAGAAACAGGGTTGAAAACTGCCTTTGATTGAGCAAAATGGATTGTTTTGTTTTGTTTTCCCAGCCCAATTCTCCAGTTGTCTATTAAGCAAGAGTTTGGCTTTGTTGAAGGCAAGGAAGCCAACCCTCCAGAGATTTCAATAGCTAGAGCCCTATGTGGCATATTAAATATTACAGAGCGGCTGGTGAAGAACGCATCAATTCAGAATTTGCCAGTGGGGGCAAAAAACACAGGGTTGGTTAGATCTTGAAAAGAGATGTGAAACCTACATTTGTGGGTTGTTGGTTTTTTGTTTTTTTTGCCTTCATTTGCTCCCGCATCCCCTCCCCAGCTGATATTCCCACCCATGGTTCCAACCTCTTCAGATGGGAATTTACTTTCATCTGCAACCCTCAAACATACGGTAGTTTTTTGTTCAGTTCCTCTCAGTGGCAGTCAAGATGCTTTGCTTTTATTGCTGGTTCTGAATAGCCTCTTAAATGCGGAGTGCTGGTGCCCGTGTCAGTAGGTAATCCGTGAGCCCAGAAACCTGCCTTTTTATGAACTCATTCTTCAACATCCCCAACCCCTCGCATAAAAAGAACTGTTGAGCTGCACCAAGCTTGCACAGTGAGGACTCTAGCTGTTAAGTCCAATCACACGAGCCATTATAGTAATTCATATTCTGCCCGGAATGTTTAGTAGGTTTGCACAAACTGGATTGTAGCTATCAGCCGTAGAAAGAGGTGTTCTTGCTTTCACAATTATCTAAAAATGACTGAACTAGGATCCGTTGCTTTAGATTTTTGGTTCAGCACGTCCTTTCATAGCTGTTGTTGTTCTAAGACACAGTGCGGCACAAATGTATTTTAATTACCCTCCAAATTGCTAGTGAGTTTAGGATCAAGCCTATTTTGAAAATACCTTATCACCAAAGCAGGAACCAAGGAAGTTGTTTTAACAGCCCAAATTAATTGTTTATCTAACTGAGATGGGACAACCATTTGTCTGAAATGGTTGAGGGTTTCCTGCATGGGCAGGGAGTTGGACTAGAAGTCTTCCAAGATCCCTTTCAAATCTGTTACTCTGTTGACCTCGTGTTGACGGTTCAGCATCAGCCTTCTCCAATCCGATCTCCTTCAAATGCATTGGGTCTACAACAGTGGGTTCTCAACCTTTTTAATGCTGCGACCCCCAACTGGTCGTACGTCAAGGACTACTCAACCGGTCGTAAGTCGAGGACTTCTCAACTGGTGCAGCACCGTTTGCAGAATGGGACTTTTGGCAGGCTCAGCAGGGCAGAGACAGCCTGGACAATTCCTATTGGCTTTTGAAAGCCAACAGAATTAGACTCTATTCAAGAGAGTCTATTCTATTGGCTTTCAAAAGCCAATAGAATAAAAGGGAGTAGCACAGCTAAGGAAAAGGGGGGGGTGGAAATGGCAGACTGCGTTGTTTGGCGACCCCCGTGAAATGGTCTTTCAACCCCAAATGGGGTCCCGGCCCACAGGTTGAGAACCACTGGTCTACAATACCCCTGATGCCCAGCCTGCCTGAAATTCTTCAACTTGGAGAAGACAGCTGAACAATGATTTGATAGGATTTTTCAAAGGTTCCCAGCAAAGAAGATTCTTTTGCATCTCCAGTTACCTGCTCATTTAACTGGAAATACCAAAGACTGAATTTGGAAGATCCTGCACCAAAGCATGCATTATTTACTATTTAGTTATTTCAAAGCTTGATTAATGTGCATATATTTCTTCTCTTTCCCCATTTTATTCACACCACACCTTTAAGCATATTTAGCACCAGGTCATAAATTGGCCACACATTCACATTCATTGTTACTAAAGTAGGTAGAGATATATGTGTGGATAATTCATAAGACCACATCAAATACATGACAAATAGATTTTCTGACAGTTTCTCAGCTTTGAAATGGTTCTTATTCTCCCAAGCTCTCCTCTCTTAAATCACCTGGTAGAAAGATATTTTAACGGTCGTGTAAAAAAAAAAAAAAAGGGGGAGAGACCTGTCTCTCATTCTTACATGTTAGCTAGTCCTGCCAAATTCACTTTACCACCCTGCCTACATCACGCCATAAAAGTCTTGTCCATATCCATGCAAACTGAACACATGAGTTTAGTGCCCTAGAATTACCTGTTTCCAGGTAAGTACATCTTAAAAGTGTCAGAAAAACACCGAAGATTTGTAAAACAATGTATGTTGTGGAAGGTAAGTTCTCAGCTACCAAAACCTTTGCTCAGCTATCTCCAGAATTATATTGGATGGACATTTCATACCCCATACCTCTTGCTAAGCCCTCTGTTGTGTACCAAGCACCTATGGGTAAGAGATCTAAACTACAGGATCATCACGGAATGCGTCCATGACGTGGGATAGAGATTGGCTTTTAACTTAAAAATCCAGAGCATAGCACAAATCTGAGAAACGTGGTCAGAGGACCTTCTGCTCTTCTTTTGCTTCTTTTTTCCCTCCTTCCATCTTCAGTGGAACCTGCGTTGACCACCCAGGTAGGAGATATGGTTGCTGCTCCCGACTCCCAGTTTTTTCTCTGTTCTCTGGCCATGCTCCCTATTGCGCAACGGCTTGAACATAGATACTTCTGCTTGCCCTCTCCATTTCCAAGTGGGTCACAGCAATCTTCTCATGGGGTCCGAATATGATTTTTTGGTTTCATTCATGGAAAATCCAGTTTTGATTCTTCTCTTCCTGATTTATTCTGCCACTTTTTGTTTGTTAATCATTTGCCTTTTGCTGAACTAATTGCCTTTTGCTTTTTTTCCCTTCCATTTTGTTCCCCTGCCCTGCTTTTATGTGGGTCTTGGTCTTTTTCCTCCCCCCCTCCCTTTTCCCTTTTTTTCATATTTTTTATCATCATTTTCTGCTCCATCTCCTCTTCCAATTATTGCCTCTCTATTTTTTTTTTAATTTCTTCCTCTTCTTCTTTGTTCTGTTCTTCTTTGGTTCATCTTTCCTTCTTCTGTAGGAACCTCAAACCACCGTTATCCATAACCCAGTGGACAGCATTAAGGTACTGCTGCCTGTCTTTCCTTCTCCTCAGTTTTGCCCTTTTTGTTATCTTGGATAAAAATTGACTTTTTTTCTGCTCCTTGCCTTGCTGTGTAATTTCACCTCTGGGGACAGACCGTAGGCTCAGATTGTGCATTTTTTTCCCTATGCCTGAAACCCTGCAAACGCTGGCCTGTAATTAAAGGGAGGGGGAAGAGGGTTGCCCTTTGAGGTGTTACAGAAAGCACAAAGTTACAACTGCAGCACTGTTTTTGAAAGGTCTGGCCTTCTTGAAGAATCACAAATATTGGACTTTCTACTAAATGGGGAGGAAGGTGAAGAATTTCCATGACTCTCTTGCTGGTGGTATGTTCCCTACATTTTGCTCCAGGTCTTTGACAAAGAGGCTGAGGAAGGTGGTCCAGACCGAACAGATGGAATTGAGGGAAAGAAGTTGATAGTCACTTGTCACCTGGAACTAGCTCTTCTGGAGGATGGGATTGTCCTTCAACCCTGTTTTCTCCTGTTCTGGTCCTAGATGTGTTGAGACCTGCTAGTTTGGGTTACTGCAGTCTCCACGCAGGTTGAGAATCCCAGATGGGGAAGAACTCCAGATGGGGGAAGCAACCTTCCCCATCTGGGGTTCTCAGTCTGTGTGGAGACTCCAGTATTCCCAGAAGTCTCAACTGAGCTTTTTTGCGCTGGGGGATAGGATGGGGAAGAAAGCCTCAACTCTGACCCCAGAGCTCCTTAATGCTCAAGTGAAAGAACGCAGCCAGGCAGACCAAAGAGAGACAACCCAAGAGGCTGGACGGTCTGAGGACCAGCATAGTTGCGCCATGTCACAATCATTCATTATCCGTCCCGGCCTTCACTTCTACCCAGACCTGCATTTTTTTAACCCATTCTTTGCTGCAGGGGCTTTAATTTTTTATCATGTTTATGCTACCTCTTCAAGCCCATTCACTCAGTGCATCTGACATAGCCTTAAGAAGGGAACCAGTTGGATTTCTTTTTTTTGGTGGGTTGGCCAATTTGCTTTTTGTTTTTAAAAGGTTAAATCTCATAAGAGGCTGGTCAAGGAAACTGTATTAGTATCCCCGTTTATTTATCTTTTCTTCTGGACAGTATATTTCCTGGTTTAGATGGATTTTAAGAAAAAAAGGATAATGTTTTTCTAATTATACAACTTATTTGGTTTTTTTTTTAGAGGAAGTAAAACTGTAAGTCTGGGGACTGGTACCCATATATCAAATTGTATTGGGATGAGGAATCTGGGGTGATTATGTTGAATGTGGGGTTTTGATTTTCTTCCAACTGGGCAATAAATGGAGGCTACTAAGGTCTTCTGTTCATATTAACAATTATTTCTAGAATATATTCTTTTCTGCTACAAATGTTTGGGGAGGAAAATCTTCTTATGTTAAAAACGTAGCTTTTTCATCCTGAGGGAGAGCAACCATTTTCTTTGAGGTGTCACAGAAAACTGAACTGTTTTAAAATATTATCATAATGTTAAATCTACTCTGTTTTTGACAAATGAGATAGGTGGTTTGTGTTAAAAAAAAAAACTTGTGAAGATATCACATTTGCTGCTTTTATTCATTTGCTTCCCCCCCCCCCAGAAAACTGCAGGGACTCCCAGCAATCTCCAAGAATTAGACACAATTGAACAGAAGGGGGGAGATTATTAATTAATTAATGTTAATTAATATGATGCACATTTTTATCAAAGTTAAACTAATCATTCTGTTTGGAACTTGAAATTTTTAAATTAATTGTAATAGTACGAGAAGGATAAGATTCTATGTTATGCAGACCCCTTAATCTAACCAATTGCATTCATTTCCAACTAAACCTTACTTTTAGGAACAGTAGTAATATTTATCCTCAGACCAACTCCACACCTCAAAGGATATCATGCTGTAAATCAATGTTTCTCAACCTCCACAACTTTAGCGTAGCTGGCTGGGAAATTCTGGGTGTTCTAATCCTCACATCTTAAAAGTTGCTGAAGCTGAGAAACTCTGCTACAGATCACTCAGACAGTCTGACAAGTCTTAATTCTAGAATAACATTCTTTGTTGAGAAATGAGAACATTCTCATAGTTATGAGTCTGGCCATAATTCTGCAAACAAGAGTAAATTTATGTCACGACAGATGCTGCAGTAGTAAATGGGGTCTGACACAGCTAGATATAATTATCTCAAGTCTAGGTTCACCCATATGTGGAAGCAAATGGCAGTTGTGCATTTTTTTTCCCTTGTGGTTTACAGTTGATCCACACTGCAACACTAAAAAATGGGACTTAACAGCTCAATTCTGCATGAGAAGTCTCTATCAATCTTACCAGTGATCAGATTTGAGTTTTTTCTTTCTTAAGAAGCAAGAAAAACAAAGCCAACCGCAATTCTGTTTTTTAAGTTGGTATACTTCGTGAACCATCTCCCTAGTTTACTTGGGGCAGATACTTCTATATTGATTAATATGGCTATTTATTGTCATATGAAAAAAGTTTTGAGTGTCTCACGGTTTCTTTTCTGATTTATCCAGATTCTCTGGTCTCAAATTGTACATCTTCACCTTCTCCTCAAGCATCTGTTTCTGGCCAGAGCTGCTAACCTTTTGCTTTCTTTTTCTCCTCCTCCTCTGTATGTCTCCACAGGAATCATCCGACAGCACAAACACCACCATAGAGGATGAGGACACAAAAGGTAACAGATTTAAGGAGTTGGCCCACAGGTCAAAGGCTTGACATCTGTAGAGTTAATTATTCTGCTTGCATACTCCTGATTATCTGCACGCTTGACCATAAATGGAATATTGTAAGCCATAGCAATTTACCTAGGAGAAATGGAAAAATGCAGACTCCATTTTAGACCATGGCTAGAAAGGAAGTTGTGGGCAAATGGAACGCAGATGTGCATGTTCTCGCTTGTTTGATGAATCCTGGCTTATTGTGTGAAGGTGTTGTACCCCAATGCTTGCAGGCTGTTGACTCTTGGTGATGACAGTCAAGCTTCATGGATACTTGAGAAATGTTGTCTGTGTGAAATCTGTAATCTGCCCTAATTACGGGTGTTTTATTATAAGTGGTAATGCAAGTCTAGACTCAAAAGCCTATCCAACCTAACCCATGCTTAACACACCTCTTTTCGAATAACACATTTAAAGAAATTAATAAGCAAGATAGAATGAGTCAGTTCTGCCCTACTAGAAGGAAGAGCAGAAAGCAATATGAAGCTTTTGTAATGCTTAAGACACTGTATATTTCGCTCCATGAAAAGAAGCTGAATAGTGTGATTCCCCTTCCAGTCATGATGCCACCAGTATTGCCCACAGGATCTACAGGACAGGTGCCACGAAGGTATAACTTCTGGGTTCAACAAGATGACATAATTTGACAGAGGGGAAAAAAGGAACACACCCTCGCTGCTAGATCTAGCAGGGTGAGCACAGATGATGGGACATAAGCAGTCTTGCAAATAGCTTGGTTCTGTGCTGTGTAGGGGTTTTATAAGCACTAACCATCACCTTCCGTTTCACCCAGAAGCCTACTGGGACATAGGGAAGTTCACAGAGTGGCGGTGTTATACGAATGCATAAGAAACATCAAAAACTGCCCACACTGTTGTATTCTGGACAAAATGTAGCTTCCAAATGCTCTTCAATGGCAGTTTCATGAAGAGTGTGTTACTGTAATCCAAACAGCGGGTAATTAGGATGCGGGTCATTGTGAGCAAGGCCTTCTGGTCCAGGAATGGGCACAAACGGTGCACAAGTCAACCAGTGCAAAACTTTTTGACAGTATAGATATCTTTATGTTGGAAGAGAAAGGAAGGTTGGATTTGTATTGTTTGGGTTCAAAATCTTCTCTCTCTCTCTCTCTCTCTCTCTCTCTCTCTCTCTCTCTCTCTCACACACACACACACACACACACACTCTCTCTCACACACACACACACACACACACTGGGGGAGATAGCACTCTTTCAGAGTAACCTTCAGCTTTCTCTGCAGTCCAACAGATAGCTGTACTTCCTGCATATGCCTTTGTCACCAAATAACTTTTGTTTTGAAGCATAACCTTTTATATTTTGTCAAGCTGAGGTCCAGATCAGTTGCGGCGGGGGGGGGGGGAGGGTGGATTCCTGCTGCATTATTAGGCTCGAATTTTGTTCCTTGACTGATGAAGGTTAATTTGTGTAAGCGCAGTTCTGCTGCAATGGATGGCATGTGGATGTATGGTCGTATACGTATGCTAGACTGGGCTTGTGTTTTCTAGAAAGACGAATTAAGAACTCAGTCAGCTTGCACTTCCAAGAGAAAAAAACGTGGGTGCGTGTCTAGGTACATGGCTTCTAGTGCTATCGACAAAAAGGCAGAGGAGACATTTTGAAGCCTAAGAGATGATAGGAGAACACACAAGGATCGCCCTAATAGAAGAACACAAACGGACCACCCTCAGGGAAAGCTTTGTCATAGGCCTTTGCCTCTTGTAACCTTTCACAAATGAGGGATGAAGATGACATGATACAAGTCTCGTCTGAAAGCTCTGAGGTTTCCGAAAAAGTAATGTGTATTCTCTTCTATCATTCACTTTCTTCATAAATTGTTCAAAGTATAAGCGCCAGGATAGAGTTAGGAAATATGTAATGCCCTGATGCTTAAACGATTGGTCCCAGATCAACGTGATCAATAGACATAAGTTTAGAATCTAAGAATAACTAAGCTGAGTCTTAATCACATCCTATGTTGCTGCTCAGATACCTCATAAAGAATCAGAATCCATCTTTATTACAGTTACAGACCAGCACAAAAGTGAAACATGAAAATAAATACATTCTCTAGAAACTGTAAGAAAATAACTAGGCAAAGTATTAATATCAATAAGGATCTTTAGTTCTTTATGTGTTTTTTTCCTCCCTTATTACCATTGCACCAGCACAAAATTTTGCTACTGCACACGTGGCTGGATTTGAATCCTGAAGGAGATGGTCTCACGTCGGAGTTATCTGTTCTCCCTAGAAATCTCTCTAACAGGGAGAATGTACGTTGTCTTGATGTCCCTGTAGAATCTGCAGCGCAATAGGACATGTGAGATATCTTCAACTTCCCCATTGCCACACGTACACATTCGTTCAGCTATTGGGGTTTTATCATAAGCGCCCTGCAAGGAGTGCTGAGGGGAGGATATTAAGTCTGGCTCTTTAAAAAAAATGCTATTCTACTCTTAGGTAGTCAGGCCTTTCAGATACCTTGGCTGGTTTCCACGCACCCCATTTAATCTGATTTCTACTGTGGAGAGATATCCTGTTCTACTTGGAATTCCATGTTTCTTATTGTACTTGGCTTGATTGTCGCCTCAGGATACTAAAAACAGTGGGGAAAGTCCACAGAAGGTCAGCTTATGCTCTATCGCCTGTTTCCAGGGAGAGAGAAAGTTGTCTTTTAGGACTAAAGGGATCAAGTCCTTTGGGAAGAATTGGATTTTCAACCAGTACAAATACCTTATAAAAAGTCCCTGCCCAGGACATGAATATAATCAAACCTTTCCTGCTTGTCACACCTGGAAATATGTTGTCTGTGTATCTTAATCCCATTTCCCCATTTTTTTTTCTTTCTATTAAAATACATCTTACTTTCCCATTCTATGTCTCTTATTTTGTTTTTTGTTTTTTTCCTTTTATCAAAGGTGTCACTGTTCTTTGGATTTTTTTTCTTCTTCTTTCTGTCTTTATGGTGTTTCTGTTTCTTTTTCTACTCTTTCACATTCTCCCCAGTTAAAAGCACTGATAATGAGCTTGTAAAAAGTCAAGTGAATTCAGGATCTGCCCCTGAACCTCCTCCCAGCCTACAGACATCTGTCATCTCATCTGCTGCTGCTGCAATCACGGCTGCTTGTAAGTTGCAAGGCCCCAATGTTTGTTTCTCTGTTAATTTATCTGTTTGGAAGATTTATAGGGCTGCCCATCTTAAGCAACTCTGGGTGGCTTATGGTAAGATGTTCCCCCATTAGACCTTCCATTGAAGCCTTAAGCCATGGTTTTCATTCAGCTCTAGCCACAAGCTTGATTTCCTGTTATCTGAATGAACCTACTTGAACCTTTAATTCTTCCTTTTTGAAGAATTAAAGAATAGCTCAACAACATCCCACTCTGGATGGACCTTTATATTTGAGCTATGGCTAGTTTGAATAACGATTTTGCCAATTAATCTTCAGTTCTATCTGGTCCTCAAATCATGGCTCCTGAATTCAGCTTCACGTTGCCTGTAAATATTTTAACCAAAAGAAAAAAGAAAAAATAGAAGCTGGGTCCCCTAATCTGGCTTGCAAACTTGGTAGAAGTCCAAATCCCTGGGCCTCATATAGGCTCAGCCATATAGAAGAATGATTATAAAAAACCAGGATATCCTCAAGTTGAACTTAGACTATGTTCTTTCAACTTAGCCCCTATTCGTGTCCATGTAACTTAAGTCATTTGCTTTAGTGATGCTAGTAGAAATTGATTTAGAAAGCCATAACTAGGCAGATTAAACACACTTTGTGCATTGGATTCATTGGCAGTTAAAGTATTCTTTGCATCTTTGAGTCATCTTTTCAGATTTTTTTTCTACCTCACTGTTACTTTTTGTTGTCCTTCCTTTATCTTCTCTCTTTCTTTCCCTCTCTTCCTCCCTCCCTGCCTTTCTCATTTGTCCTGTCTCAGCCTCCAAGCTCTCTGATGTATTAGGCCTGGTGAAAAAGGGATCAGGTACCCCTGTGGCTGAAGACCCAACAAATTCTTCACCCTGCATATTACCAGCTATTGCAAGCCCTCTCCCTCCCCAGTGTAAGTAGTGTGTGAGAGCTAGGGTGTGCATTCAACAACTACGTAGCTGAAAAAGAGTGTTGCTGGAAAGTATTTGTGGCTTGTTATTAAACCAGGTCTTACATTGCTTTCATGAAACCTAATGAATACATTCTTGGCTTGGATTTCATTAGCAAAGATTGTATGATCTATTGGAAAGTCCTGCAACGTAATAATGCCAAACGATGCTAAATCAAAAGGTCTACAGTGTGATTCATTTTTTTTAACCTCAGCAGGAAAACAAATATTCATGCAACAAATTAAAATAATTAGTCCCAGTAATGGAAAATTCTTGTGGTTGTAGAGATGGAATAAGAAATAATTCATAATAACAACAGGCTGAAATTCTGGATTTGCACAAAGCTAGAGAATTCTAGAGCATCTGAAAAGGATACCAAACATAGATAAAACATATGATGAGTGGTTCAAGAACTGGGTATGTCTAGTCTAATGAAAAGTAGGACTAGGGGTGACTTGCTAGCAGTCTTCCAGTATTTGAGAGGCTGGGACCAACCCATTCTCCAAAGTACCTGAATGTTGGACAAGAAACAATGGGTGGAAACTTATCAAGGAGAGAAGCAACCTAGAATTAAGAAGGAATTCCCTGACAGTGCAAACAATTAAACAGTGGAACTGCTTGCCTCCAGAAGTTGTGGATGCTCTATCATTGGAAGTTTTTAAGAAGAGATTGGAGAGCCATTTGTCCAGAATGGTATAAGGTCTCCTGTTTGAGCACAGGGTTGGACTAGAAGACCTCTAAGTTCCTTTCTCTTATACTGTAATTGTAACTGTTACTGCTCTTGTCCTGATGCGGTTCTCTAATATTTTTCAACTCAACATTTTAGAGATTTTCTTCCCTTCCCTACTCTTATTTTTTGCCCCAGTTGCCTAGTTCTCTGCTGTACGAGGCCAAGTGAAATAGAATTCTCTGAAGCAGAAAAACCAAACATTTCTATCATTTTACCTTTCTCACCTTTCATTGTTGCAACTCCCATTCCTCTCCAATGCAAGTAGATTTCTGAGAACAGCCCAGTAGGAACTGCTCTAAAGAACTAGCTTTTCTTGCTTTTTATGGGAGAACATTCCTTGAATGTTGGAATACTCAGTCAGTAAAGTACACTGAAAGGATTGATGGGTTGATTTGTACACATGCTAGGAACCTCATCAGCATTTGTTCCATGTTTATTATACAACTCATGTAATTCTTGGTGCAAAAGAGTCTTCCACAAAGAATTCAGGACTGCACCTAGATGTCAGTTCACAAAAGCAACAAATACAATTATTTGCACACCAAATGAAAAGAAGACTTGAGCGCCCCTAATTCATCAGTGATCATTTTGTACAACTTAGACTCTGATTAACGCCTTAAACATGCAAACATATGAGGACAGACACTTGCTGCTTCATTGCTTGAGCAATGTCCTTCCTTCAATGGAGTGCTTTCTTTAATCTGTCCTCCTGTTTCAATTTTTCCCATCTCTGTGGGTTTTCATATGTATGTATGTATGTACGTATGTTTTCTGAGGTTTTCGCGGGTGTTTGTATGTAGGTCTTTGGTTGTTCGGGTTTTCTCCCGCGTAAAATTGGAAGTGTCTTGGCGACGTTTCGACGAAGTCCCATTTGTCATCTTCAGGCTGGTGTTTTCAGCTTCGTGCTTCGAGGAGCACGAAGCTGAAAACACCAGCCTGAAGATAACGAATGGGACTTTGTTGGAACGTCGCCAAGACACTTCCAATTTTACGCGGGAGAAAACCCGAACAACCAAAGACCTACATATATATATACACACATACATACATATAGTTTCTTCATTTTTTTCTCTTCCTCATCTCACCCTAGCTGCTAAACTATCTGATGTCTTAGGCATGGTGAAAAGGGGTTCTGGACCCCCAGATGCTGAAGACCCAAAGCCTTCCATTACTCTGCCTAACCCATCCACGGTTGTTGCTAATCCTCTTCCTCTCCCGTGTAAGTAGCAGAGGTATCCCTTGCCTCTAAAAAATGGCATGTCACAACTTTGCAAAATCCCTCCGGCTTTTGGAACGGGACAATTTGCCACAGCCAACTCACCACGGCCAAGTCGCTGTGGGACAACTTGCCGTGGAACAATTCAGCAAATCAATTTAATTATTTAAAATGATTTACACATTATTTTAATTTTTGTCATTCACCTTTCATTCTATCCCTCCTTTGCCGTCCTTTCCTTAATGATTCTATTCCACCATTTCTTCGATATTAGTTTAACTCTGGTTCTGCGATGAGTTGGCTGCAGTGAGTTCTCCTAGAGACCCCTGGCTTTGCACCTTCCTCTCTTCTAAATAAACTTCTTGTGTTTAAAGAGGAGTAGTTTCCCTCAGTGCAGTTGCACAATGTCAAGAGGGGCTATTCTCCTAAACATTCTGCCACTACGTGGAGGGATTCTCCCACATTTAATTTCTGTTTTGTTGGTTGCCTTTTGCTTTTTGTTTTCTCATTTCCCCCCCCCCCTTCCCTTTTTCTCATCTACTGCCAACACAGCTGCCAAACTCTGTGATGTGTTAGGCATGGTGAAAGGGGGCTCTGCGCCCCCCAAAAGTGAAGAGCCAAAGACCTCCAGCCCCCTTCCTGGACCACCTTCTATTGTCACCAATCCTCTTTCTCCCTCGTGTAAGTAGTGAAATATCCCTGGGATTTCTCTGTTACAGTTCCTGCAATTGACATGAGCCCTTTGTGGGTTTATTTAAAAAAAAAAAAAAACAGTGGGAACTGTCTTCTCTCATTGATCTCCCCTTTAAGAAATTATTGTTGATTTTCTGTGACTTGTCTTTGATGTAACTCAGTCCTGCTGAGCTTATCCCTCATAACCCACAAGCAGCACAACTCAAATCATGCAGAACTCTTATTCCAGAGGCTTCCACCAAAAGCTGTGGGTAATCTCTAGCTTCTGGAGGTTTTTGGCAAGGTCAAATTGCTTGAGTTGATGCCAACTCAAAAACTGATAGGGAAGGTGAGGGAACGAACACATTGATCAAGGCTGAAATGCTTCCGAAGAAGTGGAAAGTTACTCCATTGGGGATTATTCTCTAGCAAGAATTTGTACCTGGTGAAGTAATTTGTGCTTGGTGATGCTCTAATAAATCAGGAGGAAAAGACAGGTTTCTAGCTGGTTCTCAGAATTAATAATTTATCTTGTGAAATAGGTCAACTTCGTTTCAGCCAGAGATCTTCCTAATAACTGTAATACAGAATCAGAGATGGAAAATGTTTAAGTTGGGCTTTCTTATTTATTCATGGATAGAATGGGCAAAAAAATTGCAACTCTGGGAAGCATGCAATAGATGATGATGATGAACATCAGTTAAAAGACATATAATAGGCAATCAGAAACTCATATTCACATCCCTCTCCAAAAGGGAAACTCCAATCATCCAAAGCCCGAGGGAAACGCCATGTTTTATTGCCTTTCTGAAGATCAACTAGCCATACTTTTGAGAGAAGGACAACAAGAGGTCATTGAAGGGTGCAGGTGCCACAATAAAAAAAGAGGATAACCTGTAAGTGTAGCTGGAAGCCTATAAGAAATCAGTTTAGATTGTGGTGTAGGGTGGTTACAGGGACATATATTCATAAAATAAGGGGTCAGGTTAAGACGGATGGGGAACTATGGCCCTTTTATGACTTGTGGACTTCAACTTCCAGAATTCCTCAGTCATAAAGGGGCCATAGTTGGCCCAGAGGAAGAGAGAAAGGCTTTTGGAGGAGTTGGTGGTGGTGGTAGTGTGCTCCAGGGGTGAAAAGAAGCAAGGCCTCTTTAAGGAAAAGGTGGAAGAGACAGGATCAGAGAAAGGAAAGGAGGTAAGGTTGTCGTGCAGGAATACAAACTAATTTGAGGACTAATCCACATGGAGCTCCATTTCCATCTGTCCTGTTTGCCATCGTTCACTCCCCAGAGACTAAAATGGACAATCTGAAACTTGAGTTTGGCCATGAATAAGGAGTGTATATCGGAGATGGTGTGACCCTTTGAGAGCTATATGCAATGAAATTTCATTTTGATGTATGCCAATTGGTGTACATTCAATGTGACAATAAAGTTGTTGTTATCATCATCATCATCATCATCATCATCATCATCATCATCATCTCTGGGTTAAGACCAGCTTACCTAGAAAGTACTAAGCCTGAATAAATCACATATTATCTTGAAGATTCCTTTCCCCACATCACTGCTTTGTTTTAATTTGTTTATTTTATGATTACCTCCATGCCTTCTTTCATCTGTCTTGTGCCAGCCTCGAAATTGTCTGATGTCCTAAGCATGGTGAAAAGGGGCTCTGGAGCCCCAGAAGCTGAGGGGCCACACCCTGCTGTCACCCAGTTTTTCCCATTTCCACCCATTGCTAGTCCTCTTCCTTCAGATCGTAAGTAGCGCATGTGGTCTCTGATAGCCAACAGCTCATCCCAGCTTGATCTATTCAGACTTGAAAGAACATTCGGTTCTTGTTACGACACTGTAGGTGTGAAATAACAGCCTAACGCTTATTGCCATGTGCCTTTGCTTGAATGTTAAAGCTTCACTCGCTTGCTCTAAGTAGAGGCTGAGAAGGTGGGATACATGTGCATGAGAGAACTGGATTGTGCAGACTGCATAGTATGCAGATGGCTTGTGAAAAAGTGGTCTTGGCGCGAAAGATGTGTTGTGCTTGTATCAAATACTTTAACCTAGAAGGTGCTGACAAGTGTTCTATGATCAGTGGCTCTAACCATGTGCAGATGTTGAACTCAAGCTTCTCTTAATGCTAGCAGGCACTGGTGAAAACTGATAGGTTGGATCTACTTGGAAGGGTAGATGTTGGCCAGTAACATCTGAAGAAGTCCATGTTATGTCTACGTTCCATGTTTCCATATTATCTGCACATGTTGCCTCTGCATTTGGAATGGCACCAGGTCAATTTCCCCGCCTTTATTCACTATGTTTAATTCATTCTATTCTCTTTGTCCCTTGGAAAAGCAGAATTCTACTTTTTTTTTTCCCAACTGCAATACCAACAGCCCAGAAGACATATTACTTATACTGTAGCCATGACCTTATTTCTTGCAGCCCGTGCAACTTCAACTTAGGCAAAAATGGGAATGGTGGGAGGAGAGCCAAGATGGCTCCAGTCCAACAGGTGGTTAGCTGTGCTTATTATTATTATTATTATTTTAATGCATAAGCTACCTTTCCTCCAAAGCTCAAAGCAACTTAATGGCGAGATAGGTTGGGCTAAAAGCGAATGACTGGGCCATAGCCACCTGGTGAACCTTTAAAGCAGTGGTTCTCAACCTGTGGGTCGGGACTCCATTTGGGGTCGAATGACCATTTCACGGGGGTTGCCAAACAAGGCTGTCCTCCATTTTTTCCCCCTTTTCTTTGGCCACGCCCCTGGCACCTGGTGATGTATAAGTGGTTGGGGGTCACCACAACATGGGGAACTGTATTATGGGGTTGCGGCATTAGAAAGGTTGAGAACCACTGCTTTAAAGCATGGGGGTCCAAGCTTGGCAACTGTTAAGACTTGTGAACTTCAAATCCCAGAATATCCCAGCCAGCAGGACTGGGGAATTCTGGGAGTTGAAGTCCACAGATCTTAAAGTTACCAAGGTTGGACACCCCTGCTTTTGAGGTTGACATGACCTTGGGTTTCCATATTCCTGATCCAATTGTTGACTTGGAATACATCCTATTTGTATGGAGCTTACTTCCAGATACATGTGCATAGGATTTCAGTCTCTAACCTCAGTGCTCGTTTTTTGTTTTTGTTTTTTTAAATGGAATGATCTTTTTGACTGTCTCTTTGTGCAAAATGGGACAGACCAGGATTGAGTATTCACTTAATGAAAAAAAAAAGGAAAAAAATTGATAAGGTCCCTTGAGTAGGCCAACTGTGGAAACAAAAGACACTCTGGAAATTTTCTAAAGTAAATAGATGTGTTAAAAAAAGGAAACATTTGTCCTTTGTGAAGCAGCAGCAGCACAAGAAGAAATAGTTATGTCAGTCAAAGATAACTGTGGACTAATCTGTCATATCATTTAGAATTGAGCAATATTTGGGGACAATTCTTTGCAGAATGGGAATTATTGCTCCGTGAAGCTTGTAATTGTGACTCAGATAAGGCTTATGGTGCTAAGGAAAAGGGTCACTGTTTCCCCTTACCCCTTTTTATCCATTTAATTTATCCCAGGAGTGAGTCATCCATATGTAGTAACTTGTAAGGCAAAATCTATCAATTCTCGGATTTTACTGGATCCATCTGAATCATATTTTAGTCTTGCTAATATATCAGAAATCAGTCCATGTTTGTTCAAGGTACAGTTATTTTGGGGTAATTTCATGTTTTCTAAGTGAGTTTTCTCACAGTATATCCATGGACAATTAGTTCTTTTAGCCTTGCATTCTTCTTAACAGCAAGAATTGTTAAGTCACAGTTGACTATTTTAAACTCAAGAGAATCCAGAAAGTTGGAATCAGTTGATAATAAAATACAGAGCCAAATACTGTTGCTCATTTGCATAGCAGCTCTCTTTGTTCATAGGCTTAGTTAATTTGAGAAACAAAAGTTAGCATCTCCATGCAGAAATGGATGGAGTTGGATCCACTGATTCACTTAACAATCACCATAAACATTGTCATATAATTGGGCTTGACTTGATTTACAACTGCAATATATTGTGATGGACATTCCAGTCCTAATTCTGGTCATACGTCAAGGATTATACCTGTAATAACATATCACTCAGACCCACAATTGGGTCTCCTACTGGATGAGGTTTGGTAGAGGTTCTTACTTGCAAGACATTTTTTAGATTACTTACTCTCTCCTTGTGGCTTCTGGCCCTCTAAGATACAGACACAATTAAGATCCAAACTGTTTTGAGGAGAAGTCTAGAGAAGAATGGAATTTATTGTTCAGGTAAGGAGGGTTGAAGGCTACATCCTTGCTAACCAACCACGAAATGGATTTTCAGTCCATGTGAAGACAGAAGTTTCCAAACTTCTTTAGGTTCCAAGGATTTAGGCAGGACTGTTAACCAGAAATCTAATGTTTCTGTTGACAGTCTTGAGGGAGCATATTTGGCTATGTCATCATTGCCTGTGCAGGCCTCCGAGGTCATGGTAAGTTCCTTGGGAAACACCTAATATCCCTGAGATAACACTTCATGTCTTTGGAAGACCTCCAAGGGCAGTGGGTAGCTATTTCTGTATTTATCTTGGTAAATACCTTGGTAACGCCACACTTGGAATACCGCATCCAGTTTTGGTCACCACAATGTAAAAAAGATGTTGAGACTCTAGAAAGAGTACAGAGAAGAGCAACAAAGATGATCAGGGGACTGGAGGCTAAAACATATAAGGAACGGTTGCTGGAATTAGGGATGTCTAGTTTAACGAAGAGAAGGATGGGGGGGGACAGGATAGCAGTGTTCCAATATCTCAGGGGTTGCCCCAAAGAAGAGGGAGTCAAGCTATTCTCCAAAGCACCTGAGGGTAAGACAAGAAGCAAGGGATGGAAACTAATTAAGGAGAGAAGCAACCTAGAAATAAAGAGAAGTTTTCTGACAGAACAATTAATCAGTGGAACAACTTGCTTCCAGAAGTTGTGAATGCTCCAAGACTAGAAGTTTTTAAGAAGAGACTGGACAGTTAGTTGTCCGAAATGGTATAAGGTTTCCTGCCTGAACAGGGGGTTGGACTAGAAGACCTCCAAGATCCCTTTCTACTTTATTGTTGTTGCTGCTGTTGTTATTATTATTATCTAGAGTGTGCCAGCTTGTCTGGGTAGGGAGTTCCAGTGCTTCTGAGTGATGTAGTAAACAATGCAGCAAACATATAAATATGGGTATCAAAATGTACTCAGGGTCTGTCTTTATTCAGCTGAATAAACACATAAAGCTTTAAAGGCAAATACCTGGACTCTCTCTATTCATACTGAGCCACACCTGAAACCTGGCAAGACAAGACAGGTGACATCATTTCTGCCACTAGAGTGTTTGTTTATTCATAGCACTTGCTTTAATTGAGTTACTTCTGTACATTGTAACTTCCTGCATCTCCCTGTGCGTGCTGGTTTCAGAGATATCTGGAGATTCAATCCACATCATTGTAAGTGGACAATAGATTTCTCTGTGGAAAAAGGAATGCCTTGATCTTTGAGGCAAAGGTGGAATCTTATAATGTGATGGAAGCTGGCAATAGGTTATGGTTCCCTAAGTTGTATGGTTGCAATAAAATCAGTTCTGCTCACTCTGGTCCATAAGTTTAGGATTTACTTCTTTTCTATGGTGGAAAGCTAGTTTAGGATGTACATATATGGTGGAAATATCTGTGCACCTCCTTTTGGAGGGAGTCAGTGTCTTTTAGACCCATGGTTAGTCTTTTCCATATTCTTTTAATGTGGCACCCAATTCTGAAGGTGCATGTCCATACTACTAGTAAGATGAGACTTATTAATATCAATCCACCTTTTCTCCAAGAAGCTCGTATGCTTACCTTAGTTTAACCCTCATAACTATCATTTGCAGTAGGCTGGTCTCCAAACAATTGGTCCACTGTTTCTTAAAGAGCTTCATGGTCAACCAGAGTTCTGAATTGCGTTCTCCCTGATTTAACTCCAACTCTATTCTTGGTTAGATCAGGACTGCAGACAATCACTAAATGGCAGCAAAGATCTAGCATGTTTTCTTCCCCTTTGCTGCTTTCTAGTGATGGTTCAGGTTTTTGAGGCCTAAATATAGTAACATTGCCCTTAGGATGCAAAAGAATAGTAGGAATGGAGCATGGCAAGGCAGTGTCTTTCTGCTTTCTGCTTGACATGAAAGATATTCACTCTGGATCATATTTGGCTAATTTCCCCATCTGTTTTCTCTGATTCTTTTTTTTAACCTAGCCCGCAAACAGGAAATAATCAAGATAACGGAGCAGCTGATAGAGGCTGTGAACAATGGCGATTTTGAGGCCTATGCGTGAGTAGGCTGAGTGTGAGATCTTACAGGGGTCCTGATCTCGTAGCTCACTATTTTATATGCAGTTTTATATGTATTGCTGTTTATTGATGTAAGCCCTTCATCAATAAGTTAAATTTGTTGCTGTGCTATTTACTATGTCCATAATAGGCCCATACCATTAATAAGTCAACTTCAGACTACACAACAGTATGCAAACTTTTCATTTCAATAGTTATGCTTGCCTATTTTAAAACAATACTGCGTTTTTATATGCAAGTATCTTAATGCCTGTAACCTGCTTCCCTGCCTGACCAGGTGGGACGGGCTGATATAATGGGTAAAGGGCCCTTCTGCAGGTAACCTGGCCCCATGCCATCAAAAGGGTTTAAAGTACACCACCAACACCTTGAATTGAATTTGGAAGCAAACCGGCACCCAATGCCGTTTGCACAGCAAAGCTGTTACATGCAATTTTGGGGAGTGCCCAAAATTGCTCATGTAGCTACATTCTTTGACGTTTGTTATAATGGCCTGTGTCAACACGGGACTTCCCTTTGACTTTTATTCTACCTAGAAAGCAGCAATTTTATGCTTGTAAAAGTTCTCTGTTGATGCTTTATGCATCAGAGTTTCACTGTGTCAGTTCATTTGCATTTTTCTCTGTCTGGCCTGCTAGTAAATTGGATTTGCTAAATTTGAAATTTTGTCTATGGGTCAGATTTAAGTGGGCTCAACTTCAAAGGTTCAGATTGAAATGTCCCCTTCCAGCTTTCTGCTGTTATAATCCTCTGGGTTATTTAACAGTTCAGTCATGTCTCTTTTAGCTGCGCAGACACACTTGATATAGTTTTGTGATGCACATTCATTAGCTAATTTCTCATTAGCCTTGGGCCATCTGTTTATGTTTGGGTAGAAAAGGGGAGCAGTATAATCCTGTGAGTATCTAGACCTGTTCTTGCGTGGAACTCATTCAGATGCTGTGCAAAATTTCTGAAAAGTTAGATGCTAAAAATCTAAGAAGCTTAAAAGTTATTTTCCCTTCCAAAAGAGCGAAAAAATGAAAACCCTCTTAATCTAAATTATCACGTTCTCTTTCTCCCTAGAAAAATATGTGATCCAGGTCTAACTTCGTTTGAGCCTGAAGCGCTGGGCAATCTCGTTGAAGGGATGGACTTCCACAGATTTTACTTTGAAAACTGTGAGTACAGCATTGTCTAATAGAAAAGCGAGCAATGCAGTGTTGTGGCCCCTTAACATCCCCGACACGCCTGGGCTCCAAATTTCTGCCTCCCTTTTTCTTTGTTTCTGAACACATTTCGAAGCAAAACTAGAGCCTTGATGGTTGAGCCTGGTGGAAGCTCATGATGCACTCTCCATCCCATAGTAAACACAGTCTCCCCACCAAAATTTGTGTTCAACTTTAAAGAGCAAAAGGGTGCCCAAATGTCCTTGCAAAAACACTACACTGAACTGAACCAAACAAGCTAAGAGAGAAAAGTATTTCTTCTTCCCTGTTCTGGTCCTTCCTTTTATCAATGAAGATTTGTCTTCTTTGGTCTCCTTCCTTAGACCAGCTGTCCAAATTAGATTCCGCCTGCCCTACCAGGTCAATTTTATCTAGGACACCCTGTTGCCAGCAAATAAAACAGACATAAAAGCAAAAGAGAGAGAGAGAGAGAGAGAGAGAGAGAGAGAGAGAGAGAGAGAGAGAGAGAGAGAGAGAGAGAGAGAGAGAAGAAAAGAATGAAAATAGATAAGCACAAATAAGCAGTGAGATCAATCCATCTAAAATCTTACTATGGAGCTTCTGCTGAACCGTTGATGCTGGATAACAAGACTTTGCAACATTATAGATGATATAAAAATTGTTTATCCATAAGTAAAAAGCCAACAACCAGCCATTGAAACAAACATTTTCCTGCTCTTCCTTCCTTCACTTCAAGTCAAGTAGAATCCTAATCACTAGTGCCTAATTAAGTCAAACAAATCCAGTAAATCCACATCAGCCAGCAAAACCTGATTAAATCCAATCAAATCAGCTATTTTTAATCCCATCTTTATTCCTTTTTATAAATAACTCAAGGCAGTGAATATACCTAATACTCCTTCCTATTTTCCTCACAATAAATTTTCCTCACAACACTGGACGTTTTTATGAAAAGACTGGACAACCATTTGTCTGAAATGGTATAGAGTTTCCTGCCTGAGCAGGGGGTTGGACTACATGACCTCCAAAGTCTATTCTATTCTATTCTATTCTATTCTATTCTATTCTATTCTATTCTATTCTATTCTATTCTATTCTTCTCTATTCTCCATTCTCCATTTTCTATTCTATTCTATTCTATTCTATTCTATTCTATTTTCTGTTCTATTCTTATTCTATAGTGGGTTTGGCTGAAAGAGAGTGAGTGTCTGGCAAAAAAGTCACCTAGCCAGCTTTCACACTTGAGGCAGGACTAAAACTCACAGTCTCCTAATTTCTAGCCTGATGCCTTAATCATTAGACCAAATTGGTTTGTTTGGGGTTTTTTTTTCCTGAAAGAGAAAGAGCTACAAATAACTTGACATTTCCTTGCTTCTCCTGCTGTACAGTTCCCTAACCAGTGGCCTGTTTGTGCCCTTCTAGTGTTATCTAAGAACAACAAGCCTATTCACACAACTATCCTGAACCCTCACGTACATGTCATTGGGGAAGATGCTGCTTGCATTGCCTACATCCGCCTGACACAGTACATCGATGGGCAGAGCCGTCCCCGTACTTGCCAGTCCGAAGAGACCCGTGTCTGGCACCGCCGGGATGGCAAGTGGCAGAATGTCCACTTCCACTGCTCAGGAGCTCCGGTGGCCCCACTCCAGTGAAGGTACGAAGATGGCAAACAGGGGTGACTAAATCCCATTTCCGGGAAAGATCAACGGATGTGTTTGTGTCGGTTGATACGGAGAACCTGCTTGTGTTGGATGAGAATGCATCCATGCAAGACCCAATTGGGAGCAGTTTTTTTGCTTTTTTGGCCTTCTGGCGGCTGGGTTTTTATAGACAGGTATGCAAATGTTCCATTTTTACCTCAAAATCACAAACTCCAAGAGATTAGACTGAATGTGGACAAACATGCTGACTTTGCTTCTGATGAGCCAGCAGCTCTCCCTTGTTTTTTTTTTTTTTTTCAGTTGATTGAATCATCTAATAGCGCATGACTTCGGTTTTCAAGAACATATATGTGTAATCACTCTGCTTAAATGACGCTGTCAGAGTGATAAAATAAAGGAGCGTTGCATCGTTATTTGGTTTTGAAGCAGAGTTTTAAGCTCTGGCAAACTTCTAGAAAAGAGCTCACAGTTCTTCTAACATAGCCAGCCAGCAGTGTCCCTACGCTGCTGAAAGAGTGGAATCATGACTTCTACCGTGTTTTCCCCCAAAATAAGACCTAACTGGAAAATAAGCCCTAGTGTGATTTTTCAGGACGCTCATAATATAAGCCCCACCCCAAAAATAAGTCGCAATTAAGATCGTCAGCCAGACAGACTCGTTTAGTACTGTATTTCCCTGAAAATAAGACCTAACTGGAAAATAAGCGTGTTTTGGAGCAAAAATTGATATTAGACCCAGTCTTATTTTTGGGGAAACACAGTAATCAGTTACAGGTAGTTCTCAACTGAAGACCACAGTTGGGATTAGAATTTCCATTGCTAAGCAAACCGAATTTACGACCTTTTTTAACCACGATTTGTAGATGGATAAGGCAGCCCTTAAGCAAAGTCGGCTTCCCCTATAGAGTTTGTTTGTTTGAAGCTGGCTGGGAAGGTCACCAATTGTGACCCCAGGACATTGCAGCAACATAAATACATGCCAGTTGCTAAGTGTCTGAATTTTGGTCCCATGGTCATGTGGATGCTACGAAGATTGTAAGTCAAAGACTTCCTGTATTGAGTGTTAAGGTAATCCGACTTTTACAGTAAAAGAGGCATCTTTTGAGTTGGATCACAGTCAGGAAATAGTTAGATGTGTCTACCGTGCCGCTAATGTCCAGGCTCAGGGCTGAAACTGAGTTATGCGCAACAGCCTCAGGATTATGAAAAACACAGGCCAGATCTCTGTATCAGACGTGTGTTGTGGTTCCGGCTAATGAAACATTCCAAAGAACTTCCAGGCATTTATTTTCCTAAAAGTTTTTTATTGTTACAAAATGTCAGCACAGGCACAACGGAGGGATGCTAGGATCTAAGTTCTCTTCCTCTGAGCAGTTAAATTATCAGCTCATTCCCTCCCTAGATTAGCCATCATATATCACATTATCCAATTAGTGTGAAGGTCAAAGGTTTTCTTCCTCTTTCTTTCCCGGGCTTTACCCCCACCCCCCTTCTGCTCTGTATTAACCCCATAAATACCAGACAGTTCTGCATATTGTCAAAAGCAAGAATATACAATATTTGCAGTGTTGACAACGTGCTTGCCTGCCTCGTGAGCAGTTGCTGTGGCCAACTCACTGCGGGGCAATGCAGCAATTCATTTTAAGTATTTAAAATAGTTTGAAAATGACTTTAATTTTTGTCATTCACATTTCCTTTTGTATCCTTTATTTGATGATTCTATTCCAGCATTTCTTTGATACGGGTGTAACTCTTCTCCTGCGGTGAGTTGTCCCACAGAGAGTTGGCCGTGGCGAGTTGTCCTAGACAACTGGGGTTCCCGAGTTGTTCCTCACGATGTCTCCATTTCTGTTTGTCTTTCAGAACTTATGCTGGCTGTTTTGATTTCATCCCGAAGGAGATGGAGATTTCAGCTGAGCCACTAGCCGGGAGCAGCAGTGACAAGCACGCGCCCGCATGCTCGTGCCCCCCCCCCGTTCCCTCTCCTTCCCCTCTTTCATTTCCAGTGCCTGTGTTTGCAAAGAGAGAGAGAGAGAGAGAGACAGAGAAACACATAAGAAAAACACAAATCCAGGTAGACTTGATTATTTAAAAAAGAAGAAGAAGCAAACCCAGCCAAATCCATCCAGCTGTCTGACTTGCAGCCTGACTATAATGCACTCACTATTCCTATCAGTTTCATTTTTCTTTTTCTTCTTCCTTTTGGTGTGCAGCTGTTCAGGTGACCAGATGTTGCAGTGAAAAATGTTTCAACTTCAAAAAAAAATGAAAACAAAAAAACAAAGGTCCCCTCTCCTCCCTGTATCCATCCTGGTGTTGAACAGTGTTCGTTTGTTTAGTGAACACACACACACACACACACACACACACACACACACACACACACACACAGAGATACTTAATTCACCAGACCTTGGTTCAGCGGGCTTCAGATGCAGTGGACAAAATCTGTGCACTTTTTTTTTTTTTTTGCATCTGCTCCTTGGCCATTTTGACACAGGTGTAAAATACACATTTGCCATTTTACACATGTATTAAAAAAAATACTGCATTTTACAATTTTTTTAGATGTGATGGACATCCTTTCCCCCATTAGTCTGTTAAATCCAGGATCTATTGTAAATATATATATATATATATATATATATACACATATATGTGTGTGTGTTTGTGTGTGTGCACGCACACACACACACACACACACACACACACACACACACAAAGCCAAACACAGAGCCCCCTTTTATAGTATTTGCATTCTCTGCCAAAAGTATGGGCCTTTTTCCTCCGGTGATTGTGTTCGCGCTTGGAAGTTTGTGATCAGTGCTACCATTTTGTTTTGAAGAAGACCCACCCCAACCCACCCCAGACCCCTTCATTTCCTTTCTCCTCTAGCTGTAGTTGTGGATTATGATGATGCTAATTACTCAGCCTCTTCATTTGATTTGTTTGTTTCCTTTGAATAGAGGGGGGCGGAATCCTGTTGGTAGTGGAGGGGTTTTGCTTTTGGGGCTCCTCCCAGGCTAACACTACTGCCAATGATTTTCTGCTAGGCTCATGACTGCACCCATCCTGATAGGTCTGTAGATGACACAGGGCATCGCCTTGGAGTTCCGTATAGGCCTCCCTGCAGACTCTTGGATATCTGCGTTCTCATTAGCACTTACATTTTACTAGCATCTTGATCCTGCTCTCTCAACAAGGGCTACTAACACTGGAGTTGTACTTGTGCCCTTACCGTGGTTGATTATTAGGGTGGGTCTTGCCCTTGCTTAGTGGGACTGGCTGGGAAGTTGTAATGTCGCTTCAAAGAGCTAGCGAGGAAAGAGTCAACGGTACTAAATCTCAGCCTTATCCAGTGCTGGAACCTTGCTTTCTGTCCACAAGAACGAGGAAGAGATGTTTTATTACACTCTGTAAATGCTCAGATTCCTCTTTATCTTCGGTAGAGTATGTTGACTTAAAAAGATGAAAGGAATAGAAAGTGACTATTTTTGGGATGGGGGTGCTTGAAGTTCTTAACAGCCTAGAAGAAAGAGAGGTGGTCAACATAAAGGTGCATAGCCCATTCATTCATCTCCATTCTCTCTCTCTCTCTCTCTCTCCTCTGAGAATTTACCTGCAAAGAGAGCTGAGTGACAGCAAACTTTGAGAAAATTGCTCTTCGGAGAGCTCTAGATTCAGGAGCTGACTCAACGAGTGGCCCCAAATAAGCAAAACCAAAGGGGGCAATTCTCCCCATGGACCAAGTTCTAACAGAAGGCGATGACAGGTTGTGGGGGTCTTTCACTGGCTAGTTGGAACAATTGGCTAGTGCCAGCTTTAGCTGCACCAGATCCCAATGGAAGGTGTCAAGCATTGCCTTCTGCTCGCTACATCTCCATGCCAGGAGGCTCATATTGGCTGTAACAGATGTTAGAGTGTGGCATTTGCCAGAATGTATGAATAAGAAAGCTCTGTTTTCTTCTAATGGGCTCCTTCCCCAACCCCTGTGTTTAAATATTCACACAGGAGAAAACCTTCCTCCTCGCCAGTAGCTTACTCAGCATCCCATAGCTTCAACTGGTTTCTTAGCATGTGGTGGTGAATAGGGTCCTTGTGACCACAGAAGCAGATAAGTGGTTCCTTAAGGACCATGATTAGAGGAATAGATTTGGGGGTGGGGTGGGGGGCTGAAATACCTTGCTACAATGAGCAGGGCATAAACTTATATTTTGACAAGTGGGAATTCACACTATTGATTCCCGCCAGGGGAGATTTCAAGGCAAAGTTTAATTAGATAGCTGCTTTGAAGGGATTTTTATAGGTATCTCTCTAAAGATGGGGAGACAGAAAAGTGGCCGTCCTGTGCAGAAGTGGACTTCAGTGGGCTTTGCTTCCGAGTTGGTAGGTGAAGGTAGTGTGGGTTGTGCAGCATCCATTAAATGAAGTGGGCTGATGTCAAGAACTCCATACTTAGAACTGGGCGATTGATCGGGGCCTTTTGAAATCTTATTTTCCTTACCCATTTAAAGCTTGAAGGTTGTTTGGTCACAGTCACGTGGACTTCTTGTTGACACTCCCGTTTCATAGCTTGCTTCCAGTCGTCCTGTTGTTCAATTAAATGGCAAATTTTAGGTGTGCGTGGCTCCAGGGATGATAGGACATCGCAGGGAGGAAGGCAGATCCCATGTTGCAAACTTCTTCAACCTTTGGATAGTTAGATATACCTGAAATACTTGCCCAAAGAGAGGCTGAGAAGAATACTTCCTGTAGGCTTTAGAAGCTAAAAAAAGTCTCTTCTGGGTGGTGCTCTTATGTCACCTGTGCCCTTCTGTGGGCTTTACGTTATCAGTGGTGGATGTTCCCATGTCTTTCATTAATACGGATTCCCCTGACTTAGGAGAATTTAGTTAGCTTTCATATATTCAAGCAGTACTCAGAAAATGTGCATGCAGAAAATCCAATTGTTTCTAACTTTTTTTAATTCCAGAGAGAGTATTTATGGATTAAACCAGGTCTTCAAATTTTTATAAAGGGATCTTATCTAAAATTGCATAACAAATGTTAGTTTACTGTATTAAAATAGGACTGGCTAACAAGGGCCATATGAGGTCTTTCAGGAATGGAAAGCGTGTTAGCCACTAGACTGCACCGCCTCCCTTTCACCATTCAAAAATAAATGTACCTAGGTCTCAAGAGTTTTCCTCTTTCCATAAATTACAGTTTTTGCCTTCAGTGGAACTTCTGATTGCAAAACAAGACTGTTGAAAGCTGGAGTTGCACAGGGAAAATCCACTGTAGGTGATTTGAGCTAAAAATAAATGGGAAGACATTGCTGCTTTTGGAACAAAAAGTGGAAATGCTATTTTGCATAACACAGAAAATTTAATTTAGGGGCTGAAAATCCCCAAAGAGACTTTTTTTAATTAGATAAAAATCATTTTTTTTGCAGTGTCTCAGTCACCACTTTTGACTTCCTCAAGTATCCATTACTTCACAATTTGATGCGACTAGAATTCATTCAGCATTTCAGTCTGATGTAAATAATACAACATTTCGATCCCAGTGTTGTTTTCAGAACTCACCTAGTCTGTAGTGATCGAGATGGACGAATGTAGCCAAGTTCAATTGCATTTCTCTTTTTTGAATCAAAAGCCTGTTTTATCATCTTTCCCGGAATCAGCTCGTGATTTTTCACCTAGAATTTTTGTGCATGATTTTAAATATATTTTCCCTTAGATAAAAAGAAGGAGTAAGTGATACTTAGCTGTTGGGCAGTTGATTTAAATTGAAAGTAACTGTTTTTCTAGGCACAAGTCATACCAAGTTTTATTAACTAGATGTGTTGAAAGGGACAAGGATTTCAGCAACTTTAAAAAACCTATTTATCTTCCAAGATAGGCCTGAAGATTTTGATATCCTTTCCTCTAATCTTCTGGTTCTCAGTATTTTGCAGTACCACTAGCCACTAAAACGATTCATGTATTTATGTGCCTTCTCAGTGAATAAGGTATTTCATTGGGATTAGGGTCAAGAATAAACAAGCCATTTTTCACAATTAAAATTTAACTGAAATAAAACTACAGAACTATACTAAGTTGTAAAATAAAATGGATAAAATTACTGAATGTCACTCATAAAATCATTTCTATAAACACCTCAGATATTGTGGCTATAGTGCTACCTGCCGTACTGGCAGAGATAACAGCCATATTTCTGTGAAAGCTGAACTAAATAAATGGTCAAAATCAAGTAATAATTAGTCAGATGACCAATAGATTTACTTATACTCTGCAGAAATTAGAGTTTTGTTCATTTCAGCTGCATTAGCTGAAACACAGACAATAACTTTGTTTTAATCAAAACAAATTATAAACCCTTTCTATTGTTGACCCACTGATGGATTGTAATGATTAAATTTAAACCTTTGGTAAAATACATTACAAAGATTATTTCAAAAATAACATTCTGTGATTTAAACAGTAATTTAAATAATACAACACTGCTGGGGGTTTATAAAGCCTGTCTGCTGCCACAGGTAGAAAACCAATTATGTAGGGTTGATATTACTTAGAAGTCTAAGCTGGGGATTATAATAAGATTTGTGAGGACCCTATACTTATTGTTGCATTTTAGTGTGTATTTCTCAAATTTGTCATGCAAAGTTCAGAAACCTGTGCTGGTCTCATAGAAGCACCCTTGCTTCTAAAACTTGTGATGTGCTCACCAGAGGGCAGCAGAGTTGTATTAAAACCTTGGGTAAAATCCATCAAAGTCAAAACCAACCTTTCTGAATCTTAAAGACATCATATTACTACAAATTCCAAATGTCCCAGCAAACACATCCAAATAGCTTCCTGCCTCAGAATCCTATGAGTTGCAATCTAAGGCAACTGGAAGACAACAGGTAAAGGAAGGCTTGCCCTGCTAGCCTTCAGATCAATAGGATAGACCACTGATGTATCCTACCCGTTTAAAGAGTTGAGCTGTCAACCGTCCCATTGGCATATGCAGCAAAAAAAAAAAAAAAAAAAAAACCTTCTGGGCCATTACTAAAAGTAAAACTTTACTGGTAGATCCATATAGGCACACTAGAAAGGAAAGCTAGTCCTGACTTTTCGTGCAAAAACCTGCATAGTTAAAATCCCCTTTTCCCGTCCTGGGCCACTCGCTGTCCTGTGTCGACCAATCCAGTGCAGTCTTTGTTTTGGGAAACTGCTCAGCTCAGAAGGCTATCATCATTTGACCTTCACGGGTCAAGATTCCCCCAGGCCACAGACGATGCACACGAATTCCTCAGTTCCCTCCCATCCACCCATACATTCCAATTATTCCTTCCCCCTCACCGCTCCCCGTGTTGTCTGGCTGTGAGTGAAAGTGCAGTTATATGAATTATGTGAAAGCGAAATTATATGTAATATAATTATGTATATTACAATTTAAGTCTTCACAAAAATGAAAACGAGTCTCATGAGTCAGGTTATAGTAGTCTCAAAAAATAATAATAATCAGTTAAACTGGGAGATTTTCAGAACTGATGCTGCTGGAGAACAAAAATCGAATTGATGATTGGACCCAGGTTTTACTACTGGCAATTCCAGTGTTTGTATATATAAAAAAAGGTCATCACATCTTATATGTAATCTGGTGTATGCAAATTTCTCACTAGTCTTGCCAACATTTAATTCTGCAAAGTTTAACAATACTTGGCTCTTGTCCAAGCGATAAACCGTTGATAAATGAAGTCAAATGAGCAGCCAGCTTCTTTGCAGGTCCTGCTTTTGCCCTGACACCATCACTTCAACCTATGGTAACTAAAGTTCATAACAGCAGAAGAACTTGTTTTAGAGAGAGGGGCATGACCACTGCTGTTAAGGTGGGAATAAAAAAGACGACGAGTCGCATTTAGCCACAAAATTACACCAAGTACTGTAGCTTTTCTCCCAATAGCCAATCACACTTTCATTGTTCAATCTGCAACCAACGTCATCTTAGACAAGCCACTAAATTGCCAAAAATGAGCGAAAATCAGATGAGAAGGCCAAGTGACTGTAGAGCTTGTGCAAAAATTAAAGTCTTTTGCATGTGGCCAGTTGCAAATGTCCTGGTGGGCGTGGTGTGCTTGCCTGACCCCCAATTTGTCTGTTATGGTGGCCGGCAAAAGATCTAGAACTCTTTGCTGAACAGTTGTGCCTGCAGTGAATGGCAGGAATATTGTTAATTCTAAGGAAGCTATTTCTAACCACCCTTCATTACCACGTACTTCAGATTAAACCTACTTTGTGCCTACCTACCTTGCCTTGCTTTTATCCTACTACGAGTGTACTACTTTTAACTGGAGTCTGATATTTTTGGCAGTCTCATATATGAAACTGATGGGTTTCATTGCTTATATTGCTTTGTGCGAGAAACATGTCTGAATCTTAAAAAAAAAAGTCATTGTCTGTATTCCAATCAGCTCCCAGTACAAGAAACACAATTTTGCATGATCTGATGCTTCGGGGATTCAGCGTCTTGAAGCTAGATTGATTGCATGTACTTGGCAAGAAGAATAGTCAAAATAGACTGCAAATATATTAAGAGTATGAGCACACCAATGACTTAATGTTGCCATTGTAACTATGACTTCAGTTGAGATTTGGAAAGTACTAGAGCTGCCAAACTACCTCCCAGGAAGAGTTATGGATTTGATCAGAAATTAGAACCTGTTGGGCAGAATTTTTGAGCAAAAGGGTTTGTTTTTTTGGAGAGCGATAGTTGCCGTCAGAAACCAAAGCTGAAATCTGAGACAATGGACTGAGGGATTAGCTGAGCTGGGATGGTGTGATGTAGTCTCCTTAACAAGTGGCATGATTATTGCTATTCCCTATGCATGTTCTAAGGGAGTTGCTTCTGGTGTCATTTCTGTGATGTCCCATCTAATTTTGCTACTATGGTGCCCCAGTTCTTTGTCCCACAATGATCCTGCTGTCTAGTATGACTTGTGTGATGGCTTGCTTGTCTTGTCATCCTACCATGGCTGGTATGCAAAAACGATAATACGAATTTCAGTGTAAGTTGTGTATTGGCTGCCTACAAGCAGGGTAATCCACATCCCAGAGACACAACAGGAGAAGCTCTAGGGCCCAGCGATTATTTGACAGCGTGGTGGACAGAACCAATAAGAAGAAAACACAAGAGCATTGAATTGCATACCTGTTTTTTAGACATTCCTATGCAAATTCACATCCCTGAACATCTCAGAGCAATCCATATGGTTGAAGGTAAAGTTTTAGCAACTAGAACTCATGGTGAACTATTTAAATAGAAGACTCGGTTCCTCTTTGGGTTGACAACAAGCATCTTAATTCCATGGAGATGCTGCACCGTGGTGGACATGACAGGTTTTAAGTGACCCTCACTTGAAAACGGGGGAAGCGTTTGGGCAAGTATTATTTTGTGCCTTATGGCTAGACTGTAGTTCAGTGGTTTAGACTATGTTCAGGCAGATCTCACCTGTCTTTGCACTTTAGTTGTTCCTTCCATCTAGAACTGCTCCTGCTTAAGGTTCCTTGCTGGTTACAATAATCAAGGTTGCTCCTTGCGGTTGATATTGGGAAAGGAAGCCTCTTTCGATCTCTGATGCAGTCTTGAACATTTGAGGCAAGCGTGAGGCCATTGACCCATTCCGCCGTCAAGCATGAGCAAGTTGAGAAAAGGAAGTAAGCACACTTGAATTGATTGTGCAAACCTAGCAGTTGGAGGCCTTCTAGCATGGAGACGTGTCATAGCATTCAGGTGCAGCCTTAGTCCAGGTTCTCCTTGTAGACCATCCCCATCATCGCAATGCAGTATTTTGCATGGCTAATGAATGTAAAAAGATAATTGGACCAAGAGAGAACGATGGAACAGGGGAGGGAGGGGGGAGGGAGGTGTGAGCAGGCGGGAATGTCCCACCAGCACTGATAATAGCGTTGAAAGCACTTTATATCAAGAGATTAAATCTCTTAAACAACTGCCCAGTCCGGAGACTGAGTATTGCACTGCACCACCATAATGGCTGGAGTGGCGTTCAGTGGAGCACAGGAGTGCAAGAAGACTTAAATCTTGCTCCTCTTTCTAGATGAGGCTTAAGAGGGCTCCTTTTATTTGTGGGCCTCCCCAACGATGGTGTCCTCTGCGCAGGGAAGAGCATGCTGAAGAACAGGATGCAGGATGCTTGCCGGGATTTAAGTCAAATATCTTTTTTTTTTCTCCTCCATACACGAAAGACACCCACGCCAACACTCACAGCTCAAGCGGGGCTGTGGTCCCATCAACCCCCTGCACGCACAACACATGGGGAGGAAGTGCTTCCAAGACGGGATTGTCCAGTAGATAACCAGGGAGAAGACAATGTTTAGAGCCAGTTGTTTCCAGCTGTTTTGCATTTGCACCCTTGCGTTTATAAACGTTTTTTGGTTTTTCTTTGGGCATTTCTTTTTTTTTTTTCGAGGGGAGGAGTTGGAAACAGGGGAGGTGGGTATTCGATTAAACATGCAAAGAGGGAGATTTCACAGTGGGGGGGCATAATATAATATGCTTGTATGGTTTCTGTGGAAGACTAACTTGCGAAGTGTCTCTACATCCATGTATATGAAAAAAAAAAAAACTTACAAGCCGCATGTTGAAACAGGTGTTTCATTATTAAACATTAATGTTCCAGGTCGCCTCCCATTTGATCTTCACCTTGTTTATTATGGAACTCAGTACATTGCTGGGGATATTTTTAGATTGGGGAGGGGGCTTCTTTTGCATGACCTTAAAGAGAAGAAAAATCTATATATATACATATATATACACACATATATATAAATATATATGTTTTCTGAGGTTTTCGCGGGTGTTTGTATGTAGGTCTTTGGGTATTTGGGTTTTTGTCCCGCATAAAATTGGAAGTGTCTTGGCGACGTTTCGACGAAGTCTCATTCATCATCTTCAGGCTGGTGTTTTCAGCTTCGTGCTTCTGAAGCACGAAGCCGAAAACACCAGCCTGAAGATGATGAATGGGACTTCGTCGAAATGTTGCCAAGACACTTCCAATTTTACGCGGGAGAAAACCCAAATACCCAAAGACCTAAATATATATATGTATATATATACACACAAACACATATATATAATCTCTACTGAGAACTAAAAGCAAAGCTGATTGTTTGTCTGTTCTATGAATGCTGGTGGGTTTGATCTTTTTTCTTCTTTCTGACTTGACTTTCCCTTTCTTTTTCTTACCATTTCACTGTCTTTTCTTTCTGAGCCTTGTAAGTGTAAAAAAAAAAAAAATCCGACTTTTGTTTTTGTCTCGGAGAACTGCAAATAAAATTTAAAAAGAAACACATGCACAAGCCCAAACACAAAAAGGGGAATAGAAGAAGCATGGGGGGAGACATCTTGAGTGTGTTTCTGAGCTTTTCTATCAAGCTTTCTTTTTTCCATATCCTGCTTTCTACATGCTACCGAGTCGATTTTAATATAGAAATGCAGCTGTCAGCCTTCCTAGGCAATTAAAGGAGGGAATATTCTTTGTTTGCAACACACACTTGAAGTCTGCGTTCAGGTTTTCAAGCATACTATAGCACCCAGCTCCTGATCAGGTTTTTTTTGATTGCTGTATTTGCATCCTTTGACTCAATCTGGGCAGAAATGAGAAGAATAAAATAAATATAAAGAATGCGTCATTCTAAGGTTAGATGAACCGATGGGAGGGGGACAAGATCCCTTGCAAACAGTGTACAGATAGCCCTTGACTTACAACCACAATTGAGCCCCAAGCCTTATGTTGCTAACTGACACATTTGTTGAGTTTTGCCCCCATTTTACGACCTTTCTTGCCACAGTTAAGTGAATCACTCCAAGTGTTAAGTTAGTCACACGTTGCTAAGTGAACCTGGCTTCCCCATTGACTTTGCTTGTCAGAAGGTTGCAAAAGGTGATCAGGTGACCCAGGGACACTGCAACCGTCATAAATATGAGTCGGTTGCCAATCACCTGAATTTTGATCACATGACCATGGGGAGGCTGCAGTGGTCGTAAGTGTGAAAAAGGGCCATAAGTCACTTTTTCAGTGCCACTGTAACTTCAAACAGTCACTAAACAAATTGTAAGTCCAGAACTAGCTGTATTCATCAGGATATCATTATTCCAGGAACACTGGAATTGGAGAGTCATTTCAACCGAGGCCTTGTGCAGTGTCCCAATCTCCTGCAGGAAATTCTATTTGTGGAGGATCTGAATACACTCGGGCCTACTCTGCCTCTGTGAGGTCTGCTTTCGGAGAAAAAATCCAGAAGAAAGAAGAAAAAAAATGAGAATGCTATGCCTTTTTAATTGATTATATATAAAAAACCCTTGTCTTCAAAACCTTTGGAGGTGGAGGTGTAGCATCACAATGTACACTCGCTCTTCAGGGACACCACGACCACAGAAACATCACGGTTTCTACAGCTAAGAAAGTAGCAAGACTGATTAGATCTTTAGGATTTTGGTGGTATCATTCCTCCTTTTTTATATAATGGGTAACTTGTTGAAAACACATGCTTTGTCTTACGACGTAAAGGTAACACTCCATACTTCCAATGATGGATATGCAGCTGTATGGAAAATGACTTTTATGTCAGGACAAACCTGGGTTCAATTGCTCTAGGGCTACAAAAATATCTAGCTGGGCATATCTCCCAGTCGTATTTATTAAATTTACATGCTGCCCATCTCACTGTCCAAAGCAACTGTTGGTCTAGGTCAGGGGGTCTTCAAACTTGGCCCTTTTATGACCTGTGGACTTCAACTCCCAGAATTCCTCAGCCAGCCTGCGTGGGAGTTGAAGTCCACAAGTCATAAAAGACTCGAGTTTGAAGACCCAGGAATTTGAATTGAGGATTTCTACAGCTGGCCTAGTTGCTTTAGGACAGTGTTTCTCAACTTTGACAATTTTAAGGCATGTGGACTTCAACTCCCAGAATTCCACAGCCAGCAATGCTGGCTATGGAATTCTGGGAGTTGAAGTCCACATGCCTTAAAATTGTCAAGGTTGAGAAACACTGCTTTAGGAAGATCTCATTAACTGCCATTAAGAGCATAACAATTAATGCAACAATTTAAGATATTCATTCATTTGTAGACTTGATTTGACAGACTGACCTGATCTGCTTGAGTGTCATTCAGCTTCTTGTTACAGGCTTTGGATCCCTTATATATTTATCACAAGTGACCACACCAGCTAGGAAATACCCGATGGACATGACATTGGAACAAGCTGATTTAAGGTTGATAGACTCTTGTTTTTCAAAGCAACCCTCATCGGCTGGGTTGGCAGAATGAAATATTCTGCTAAAATGGGATTGCTTTGTAATTTGGTTTTTGAGGAATTGTGTTATCAGAAGTCTCAGTCATTATTTTGGGGTCATAACAGAAATGACTGAAACATCATTAAATACAATATACTTTAATCCGGGCGTGGAGTTAAAAAAATATGCAAACACAGCCAATTTCTCTGGAAGAAGATATTATAATATTGGAGGCATATCTAATATATCCTCACAGAGATAATAAGACACAACCAATTCTAGATGATCAAGTGACCACTTTATCCACATAAGTATATTCCAATAACCAGTACATACAGACATTAAGCGATGTTTATTAAAATACAATCTTTAGTAAAAGCTTCCACATTAGAAAGAGGTTAGGAATTCGTGAGCCTAAGGGGCAAAAAAAAGTAATACGGGCAACTTTCTATAGTACTCTACATTTCAAATCACAGAATGAGGAGAGGAGAAGCCATTTTCTTTTACAGCAAGTAGTAGCAAAGCTCCCTGCAGTGTTCCTTCTACCCTCTTAATCTTTCGGAGCAAAGTTAACAGCCCACCAGGAACTGACCATTGCAGAAGTGGCCTTTACTGAAAATAGGACAGCCCTTAGGTTGGTGCATCAGAAGCAGACACTGGGAGAAGAGAAAGAATTAAGGCTGGTGATTTCTGGCACCACAAGGGTGCTGCATCAGGTCTGCCAATGCAGCCTCCGCACGAGTCACTGGTCTTTCACCCAGGTCTCCCCCCCCCCCCAAAAGGCCTCCCAAAGCAAATGTAGCCAAGTTGCCAAGTCCCAGGATGCACCCATTGCTGCTCAAGTCAAACAGAAATGTGTTCAAACCCCAGGTTGCTGACTTGTTCCACTTCACTGTACTGGCCCTAGGTTGATGCATATAAACTGCATGGAAAGTGGCAGTTGGCCCAAATTGTTATCAAAAGCTGATGCAACTGTGCACGATGGACACACTTCAAGACAGGAATAATGCAAGCCAGGAATGGGATTTCTCCTCAAAGACCCACCAGGAACCTTCAACTCTGCCTTAGATTGCCCTTTGTCATTCTGTCATTTTGTTTTCTTGGCACTAACTGCTTCCTTGCGAATGGGCAAGGACAGCTTCCTGGCTTTTTACGTGCCTCTTCTGAAATGGAGAGACGGCTCAGTCAGTGATGTCAGTTTACCAACAGGGTTAGGAAAGCTGCTGCCCAAGATGTTATTGGTTACTCATCCTGAGCCTAGAAGACAGACTTCTGTCCCTATTCTTGGATTAATATATTGGAGGAGCGATCGCTCCACCATGCACAAACATGCCATGGATAAGCAAAAGCTCCAAGTGGCATGTTTTTCCTGTTGCCTAGCTGAATTGCTTCATGAAGGACTCCTGGTTGGGGATCAGCTGATTTTAAGAGACATGGTGTGCAGACATATCCAACCCAGTTACATTAAAACAAAACACTTGGGGAGGAAGGCAGAAATACAACTGTAGAATGGTCTCCCTACCCACCCTGCCCCTCCAAAAGGACAGCATGGGCCTTAGAGCGGAGATGCCACTGACCGAAAGACAAAAGCATTAATAACATTGCCTACATTTACATAAAACCAGTGGTGACAAATTCTCCAACTGTGGGAGAATGTAGCCTTAGCCAGGACATCACAAGACAACACCAAGCTGCGTGGTTGCAGCAACTAACACACTTAGACCCAATACGGGGATAGCTCATAGTCTACAAGGCTCTGGTATAATGGCTAGTGTAAAACAGCAGCTTATTCTTCAGGGTGCGCATATGTTTAAGAAGGGCTGCTGGTTAATACCAAGGCAGGTACGCTGTCAGAACAGCAGCCATAACACATTGTGGGAGAAGGGATGCCCGGATTGCAATATTCCCCCCCCCCGCCCCATTCATTTCACGTCCTGCTGAATAGTGTAGAAAGAGCAAGCTGTCAGCTAGAAGAGTTACCAGCTTTTCATCAATAAACCCAACCTGAACAAACTACAATCTCCAAGAGCACCCAGGGGGCACCCAGCCACGCAATCCCTTCTTAACGAAATCCTGGGTTTGATCAGTGGCAATGGTACCGGATAAGAGAGGGAGCTAAATGCTGCTGCTTATATCCTTGGCAAAAACAAAACAATGTCTGACTCAGCTTGGGAAGAAATGTCCCACCTTGAATCAAGAGACAACTTAAAAGCATGTCGATTTTCATACTAGTCCTAAAACCCCTTTCCCACCTCTTTGGAGTGCCTTCTATATTACAAAGTATAATCAGTTCTCGGGCTGCCTTAGAGATCTGTTTTTCCCCTTTTGTTCACGCAGAACGCAGAGATCCATGTTCTCTGAATAATTCTGAATGGGTTCAAAACGGGTTGGGTTTTGCTTCGCTTCCAAAAATCAGCATCCAACATTTTTAAGACACAAGGATACTGTGCAAGGCTGAAAAAAAAAGGCATTTTCAGAGGGCCAGATAGTTTTTTTTTTTCTTATTCTTATGTATGCACAATGAGTCTGTTTATCTGTTTGTAGTTTTGGAAAGGTGAGCAGCAAATCCCCACACAGATATCAGGCGACGGCCAAAACAGGAATGTGTGTGAGCACGAGGATCCACTCTCATCTCTCTTCGTGCCGTCAACCTAATATCCCAGATACTCTCTTGCCATGAAAGTTAGATTTTTTTTTTCCAAATAAGGTTTTAATTTCATGGACCCCAACATGGTCGCCTATTTCTTGCCTCCAGTGTGGCTTGAGACGGCTGAATCTGGAAACAGCTGCTGCTGTAGTTTACATGTAGGTGTTGCCTCTCTCTCCAGGAATCTTGAAATCAAATCAAATCCAGATAGTCCAAAGCAGGTGGTGAAGGTACACGGTGGATGGAGTCACATGATGTCACAGCATGAATTCTGCTTGCGGGCCTTCCAGGTCAGGAGAGGTGGGAATAAACACACACTTATTAAGTATTTATATTCGGATTTATTACTAAGAGATGTCTCCTTGGATTTTTGGAGACTGTGGAAGCTGCAGTCCCTTCCATGATGGAGAGCTAACCTGTGAAGCCATGTATCAAGAATGTACTCCTATGCCAGTTTTATATATATTATTGGTCACGAATATACCTGTATGATAAGGCATAAGATGGTCTATTTGACCCCTCTTTCAAACCAGTGAAAACAAAACCTAAGAAACTAAGAAAGACCACTTGTCTTTTGAAAAGCAGCTTTGGGACAATTATGACCTGGATCATAGTTGGCATTTTGTTCCCAGATCATCGTCTCCACTGACTAAAAATACCCTGTGCATTTATTGCCTCATAAATCATTGCAGGAAGATAAGGAAGCATTGTCTGTATTACTGGGCACTGGCCCAAATATACTTACAGTTTTGTAAAAGGCTTTTGACTGATTTCCAAGAATCTCTGACTTGGCCACTAAGTCATCCAGTTTCTCTCCTCGTTCTAACAAGGACTCCATTGTATTGTGCTAAAGGGGGAAAAGACACAGCTGAGAGAGAACTGCAAGTCCCTAACCTATAAACCCAGCTGTAGAAGAGGCAACAAACACGGGCGCCTGTGAAGTGGTGTGGCTGTGCTCGCTCTGTAATGCAGAACTTAATTTCCGGATTTTTCCCTTCACCCACCTTCTCAGCTCTCTAATCAAGTATTTCCACTTTCTGATTTGGGAAAAAAGTTTGGGAAGCGTCATCGGTTAGGCCTTTGCCTACATTTGCCTCTTAAGGAGACCAACGGTAGCTTGGTCTGCCACTACTACTATCATTAAATCAGTGCTTTCATTTTTAGTCTCGGCCAAAATGCTACCCAAGAGCTAAACTTGAAATTTAACCCAAAACAAAAATGTTTGTCTCAAAGGAATTGTTTTTTGCTGTCCTATGAATTTGACAATGGGATCCTACAAACACCATTCTCCTAATCGTTTAAAATTAGGAGCAAGAATCTGCTTTCTCTCCACCAGTGCTAAAAATACAACACTGTAGAGTTTGTCAGGTGTAGAAGCTGTTCTGTAATATTCCATACACAGCACAGCACACCTTGTGATCTTAATGGTGGCCTACAGATTTTGTTCCACTCCCAGCCTGTTCTCCTGGATGTGGACTGTCGCTCTCACTTTTTTAAATTTTTTATTTTTATGCCACCTTTAGCTTTTGACAGAAATATTTAATTTTTAAGCAGTATCAATATTCTATTTGTAACCGGTGAATCACTTTTAAATTTCTAATGATTAGGATTTATTTTGAAGTAACTTTGGTAGAGCAGAAAATATTTATATTTGAATGCGTCTAATACAAGACACATGAATCAGCTGCTTGCAATTCAATCAATATTAGTATTTAGATGAAAATTGCTCTGATGACACCCATAATAACCAGCAAAAAGGAGGTCACAGCTAAGATAAAAATTAGTCATGACCTACTTTTATCTGATTGCACCATGTTTTCATCTTGGCTTGAAGAATTACATGTGATCATTAAAAGCCTGAATTAAGAACTAACCAGAGACAGGAACACCTAGAACTAGATTCACATATACAAAAAAGAGAAGAAGTTTTGTTCTGATAACATTCACTGCCTCAAAAGGAAGAGATCCTAACAATGATTTTTAAATAGAATCTGTATTTACTGAGTCTACACTGTGAATGCCAGACACAAATGCCATACCAAATAAATCTCCTCACTAAGGTTTTCCCCTAGATCAGGGGTAGGCAACCTTGGCTCTTTTATGACTCGTGGACTTCAATTCCCAGAATTCCTGAGCCAGCATGGTTGCCTACCCCTGCCCTAGAGGTTTTTTTTTTTTTTTAAGCCACACAATTATGTCCTGCTTCCAAATTTAACTGGCATCTAGCAATCTCCATATTAACAGCAAGATGCTGACTACTTACCAGGATCACTTTGGTCTCATCCAATTCGGCTTGCACTTTTGTCATTGCGTCAGCATCACGAGGATTCTTACAAGAGCAACATAGAATTTTATTTGATGATGTTCTTGGCAAGATACCAAAAATCGTCATTAAGGTGTTTATACAACATTAGAATGGAATATTTAGGAAAAGCAACTTCTTCAAGTATACCAAGCCCTGCAAACTCAGGCCCTATCGTGCCCTAAATACTAGATTTTATTGTAATTAATATTTATTCTCTCTGCTCTGTTCCCAGCAATCAACCACTGCTATGTAACGTAATAAAAAACAGATGCAGTCAACAATGTCAGTGCAGAAATATTAGGAAAACAGCCTGTTAAGACAGTGCCAGACAAGAAACCAATCTGGTTTTTTTTTGGGGGGGGGGAGAAAGTGGGGCCAAATAATACCATTGCAGACTGTATTTGTTAAAAGTTAAATCACGCATTACAGGCATTGTGGACTCAGTACAGGTAGTCGAGTTACGACTACAACTGAGCCTTCATGTTGCTAAGTGAAACATTTGTTAAGTGAGTTTGCCCCATTTTACAACTTTTCTCGCCACAGTTGTTAAGTGAATCATTCTATTTGTTACGTTACTAACACGGTGGTTCAGTGAATCTGGCTTCCCCACTGACTTTGCTTGTCAGACGGCCGCAAAAGGGGAACACGGCAACCGTCGTTAAACGTGAACCAGTCGCCAAGCATCTGAATTTTGATCACGTGACCACGGGGATGCTGCCAACGGTTGCAAATGTGAAAAATGGTCATGTCATTTTTTTTTCAATGCTGTTCTAACTTCAAATGGTCACTAAATGAATTGTTGTAAATCGAGGACTACCTGTATAAATAAAATCAACTTCTATTCGTAGGAATGTGGAAAAATACATTGGCTTGAGAGATCAGGTTATTTCGCTGATTTCCCAGAAACCTTTACAGATGTTTCATTTTCTGACAATTTATATTCAGTCCAACCACACCTGATATCTACTAAGGTATCCATCCAATGCTGTGTAGGTTATTGTTGCTGGAGTTCCGGAAGGCCAGTCTATCCTATTAACTTGCTTAGAGAATTCATCAAGGACCTATAGACAGAAGACCAAGAGAAAACCCAGATTTTGAAAGAAGCCTTACAATCCTTGGAAGGAATTC